GCTTTTATTTTTTTGTTGGGAAAGCAATTATTCTGTGTTGTTTCAAACTAAGTATTTCAGTATTTTTATCTTAGAAAGTGCATCAATTATCACACTTTTGAGCATAATAAACTTGAAAACTACTGGTTGGAATTCAAAACAACTTCAAACAATGGTCAAGCACAATAAGGGGAAGTACAGTTTTTAAAAACCATAACTCTATCTTAAGTAATTACAGAGTTATTGCCCTTTGTTACTTTTCCATTGTTTCTTTTGTCCGGACCATAACTTGAAGACTAATGTTGGAATTCAATATAACTTCATACAATGGTCAAGCACATTGAGAGGAAGTGCAGTGCACAAGAACTATAACTCCATCTTGACTAATTACAGAGTTGTTGCCCTTTGTTACTTTTCCTTGTCCAGAGCATAACTTGAAAACTACTGGTTGGATTTCAAAACAACTTCATACAATGGTCAAGCACAATAAGAGGATGTGCAGTGCATAAGAACCATAACTCTATCTAAAGTAATTACAGAGTTATTGCCCTTTGTTACTTTTGCTTTTTTTGTCCGGACCATGAATTCAAAACAATTTCATACAATGGTCAAGCACAATAAGAGGAAGTGCTGTGCACAAGAACCATAACTCCGTCTTGACTAATTACAAAGTTATTGCCCTTTGTTACTTTTACTTGCCCGGAGCATAACTAGAAAACTACTTGTTGGAATTCAATACAACAGGAAGTGCAATGCACTAAAACAATAACACCATTTGACAAATAACAGAGTTATTGCCCTTTGATATTTTTCCTTGTCAGGTGCATAACTTAAAAACTAATGTTTAGAATTTAATGAAAATGCAGTGGTCAGGAAGCGTAACTCTTTTTGGACTTACAAAGTAATTCAATAAAACTTCATCAATGGTCAACCACATTGAAAGGAAATGCAAAGTACAAGAACCACAACTATCTTAATTGCCCACAACCATAACCCTATTTCAGTTCTTTTGCAAGGTATTCTGTTACTAGTAACTTCCTCAGTTTTGAAGCAGTCTTGCAGGGGGGGGGGGGGGGTATTAATCACATTTAGTGATGGTTCTAGTTATTTATGTATTTTATCAATGGCAATTTTCATTTTCCACCTTAATTTTTTTGATTTGACAATTATATGAAATAATTAATTTAAAAAGATAACATATGTAACCTTTAATGTATCTGTTGATATATTCTTACATGCAGATCTAATGTGGTCTGTACTCTGTGTTCGCTTAGGTCTTGAAAAGTGTTTGAATAGAGGGTATTCTTGGAAAAGTGCTGAAAAAGAGCTCGATTTGTGTGTGTGTGTGGGGGGGGGGGGAGTGCATTTCTTGAAAATCTGTTTCTGGTGATGATAACAATCATCAGTAACAATAAAAATGAAATTTAAAACCAATTTTGTAAAAAATGGAAAGGAAAACTTTGATGAAATTTTTTATTTGCACTGTCAAATACAAGAATGTTTAGAATGTTATAGCTGCACGCATCCAGACAAAACAAATATTTCAAGAAAATCAAACAGAAATTTTAAAAAAGTAAAAAAAAGTTAAAACTGCTTGTTTTATGGGTAAAACCCTCTGCAGCCAATAGGCTAAAGAGAATATTATAATTAAAAAGAAATAAAAAAAAACAAGCAAATAAAAATGTAATAATGAATAAGTCTGCATGGTTAGAATCTGCTGTCGCCAACAGGCTTGGGATTAAAGAGAAAAATTTTTATTATGCCACCGCAATCTGCGATGCTGTGGCATATAGCGATTCACCTGTATGTGTGTTTGCGTGTGTGTGTGTTATATAGATTATATAGTGAACTTAAAAAATCTTCTTGTGAAAAACTACTAGTCCAATTTCAACCAAACTTGGCAGGATTGTTCCTTGGGTGAAGGGCTTCCAAAGTTGTTCAAAGAATTTCATTCCATGCAGAAAGGAATTATAAGAATAAATTTAAAAAATCTTCTTGTAAAGACCCAAAAGGCCTAGAGCTTAGATATTTTGCATAAGGCATTGTCTGGTAGACCTCAAACAAGATTGTTCAAATTATAGCCCTGGGGTCAAAATTGGCCCCGCCCCAGGGGTCATTGATTTTCACTATGTACATATAGTAAAAACTTTAAATACATTCTTGTAATAACCCAAAAGGCCTAGAGCTTAGATATTTTGTATAAGGCATCATCTGGTAGACCCTTACCAAGTTTGTTCAAATTATAGCCCTTGGGTCAAAATTTTCGCTATATGTACATATAGTAAAACCTTAAAACACCTTCTTGTAAAGACCAAAAAGGTCTAGAGCTTAGATATTTTGCATAAGGCATTGTCTGGTAGACCTCTACCCAGATTGTTCAAATTATAGCCCTGGGGTGAAAATTGGCCCCGCCCCAGGGGTCATTGGTTTTCCTTATATGTATATAGTAAAAACTTAAAAAAATTCTTCTAGCAATTGACAAATGCTAGAGGTTAGATATCTTGCATGAAACATTGTGTTGTAAACCTCTAGCAAGATTGTTCAAATTATAGCCCTGGGGTCAAAATTGCCCCCACCCTGGGGGTCATTGATTTCAATATATACATATAGTAAAAATTTTAAAAAATCTAATTGTCTGAAGGTACAAGGCTTAGAGCTTTAATATTTGTTAAATAATATCATCTAAAGGTACTCTACCAAAGTTGTTCAAATTTTGCCTCTTGTGTCAAAATTAGCTCCGCCCCTGGGAGCCATAGGTTTATCTTATATGTATATAGTTAAAACTTAAAAAATCATCTTCTCTAAATTTGCAAAGGATAGAGTTAAGATATTTTGCATGAAACATTGTGTAGTGAACCTCTAGCAAGACTGTTCAAATTATAGCCCTGGGGTCAAAATTGGTTCCGCCCCGGGGGTCATTGATTTTCATTATGTACATTTAGTGAAAAAAAAAAAAATATTTTTGTCAGAACGTTCAAGACATAGAGCTTTGATATTTGATATTTAATATCATCTATAGGTCCTCTACCAAAGTTTTTCACAAAGTTGTTCAAATGTCAAAAATTGGCACTGTTCGGGGGCAGTGATACTCATTATGTACACATATTAAAAACAGAAAATAAAACAAATGTTTGATGAATGGGAGAAAGCTATAGCTTAGATATTTCACTTGAAATTTTGTTTGGTGGACCTGTATCAAGATTGTAATTAAACCCTTGGGTCAAAATTATGCCTTGCCCAAGGAGACAGTGACCTACTTTCTTGTCCTTTGATGTACAGCAATGAAATTTTGACCATGTGCACAGTTTTAGTTGTAAAATTGAACTTTGATCTAGATTTTGATGATGTGACCTACTTTCTTGTCCTTTGATGCACAGCTATGAAATTTGAACCATGCGGTGGCATAGCATTTTTAGTCCCCTACCGGTTTACCGAAGGGGATTTTAGGTTTACCCTCCGTCCGTCTGTCTGTCCGAGCAGACGAGAGCTACATTATGAGGTTTAGGTTTATGTACAGGCACTCTGTATGGGGTTCATTCCGTAGAGACATGTATTATGTGGTTAAAAATGCTCTTATGGGGTTAAAAAAATTTGCTCTTGTGGGGTTAAGAGATCAAAGGAATAACCCCACAAACACGTCTGCTAAGTACGTCCGTCAGTCCGTCCGTCTGTCCGTCCGTCAGTCCGTCCGTCCACAAAACTGGATCCCGCGATAACGCAAAAAGTGCTGAAAATATTTTAATGAAACTTGATATATGGATAGATGGCAGTATGGAGATTATGCACGTCTTTTTCTTTTCTTCCTATGTTGAAAATTCTGGTTGCTATGGCAACAAATAGACTGAAAATATGCCAAATTTTACACATAACCTGGATCCCGCGATAATGCAAAAAGTACTGAAAATATTTTTATGAAACTTGATATATGAATGGATGGCAGTATGTAGGTTATGCACGTCTTTTTCTTTTCTTCCTATGTTGAAAATTCTGGTTGCTATGGCAACAAATAGACTGAAAATATGGCAAATTTTACACATAACCTGGATCCAGTGATAACACAAAAAGTACTGAAAATATGTTTATGAAACTTGATATATGAATGGATGGCAGTATGTAGATTATGCACGTCTTTTTCTTTCTTCCTATGTTGAAAATTCTGGTTGCTATGGCAACAAATAGACTGAAAATATGGCAAATTTTACACATAACTGGATCCAGTGATAACAAAAAAGTACTGAAAAATATGTTTATGAAACTTGACCATATGGGTAGATGGCAGTATGGAAATTATGCACATCCTTTTTTATCTTCCTGTATTGAAAATTCTGGTTGCTATGGCAACAAATAGACTGATTTCAAGATTTTCTGATTCTAAGTTTTTAAGTTTTTTTCACTATAAGTTCTTTATTTCTTAAAGGTATTTTTTCAAAACTTTAAATATAAGTTGCTTGTCATCAACCACATCATATGTGACAAGTTTACAAACTCTAGCACAAAATTTATCAGAATTACCTCCCTTGAACTTAAAATTTTCATGAAAAAAAACATTGGTTTTTTTAAATAACTTCTTTTTCTGAATGTATCTACTTCAATCTTCATATAAATGTTTCTTATTGTCACTCAACATTTGTGAGTGTTCAATACTCTAGCAAGACTATTTCCAGAATTATGCCCCTTTTGAACTTAGACTTTTTTTTGAGAAATTGGTAATTTTTACTCCAACTTCTTCAATCATGATAGGAATTTTAAAAAATGTTATATTTTGATAACAGGGATGTTTAAAAATACTTTAGGTGTCCCTTCAGTCCGTCTGTCTGTACATAAAAACTGTTTCCTGTGATCACTTTTAAAGAACTTTTTCAACAAATTTACTTAAAATAGGAACCTAAGTGAATGGCCAATGGCCCTTCAGAATGTTGCTTGGGCTCTTACCGGTAGGTGACTTATGGATTGCTTGCAATACTATGATATTTGCTTGTTCTCAAATGCAATCTTGTTTTGTTTATTATAATTTTCATCAGTTTATCTCGAGGGCTAATTATTTTAGATTTATTGCCTACATAAATTAGGTCACGTATTTTTTTGCTTTTGCAACAATTGCATCAACGTTTTTGTTTTCAAATGAAACACTTTTCATATTAACATCATAGAAACCGTTTTTCTCAAGGGCGGACATGTATCTGTCTGGGTCGATATTTCCGCATTGCATGAATCCATGTTTCGCTATTTGTTTTGTTAGAGAATGTTTGTGGCACGTAACTATTAACTTGTCTGGTTTAATCACTCTGTGAAGTTCTTTAGCTGCAGCGTCCATGTCTGGCCAGAAAAAGTAACAGTTAGTATGAAATATACTGTCAAATGTACTGGCATCAAATGGAATATCTGTCACGGAGGCCATATGGAGCGTTACTTTCCCCGTTGTGATTTCCTGTTTCAAGTTTCGACTAGCCGTGTTAAAACTCCTATTAGAGATATCAATGCCATGAACTATACCAGAACCATCTGTAAATATACAAAAAACCAGAACGTTACATGTTTACATACAAAAATTTTGTTCCTGGAACAGCATGTAAAAGACTACCTGTAAACATTGCCACTTACATGCAATTCCTTTATTGCCAACTCAAATGATTATGTTAAATGGTTAAGGACGTTTTCGCTCGTTTTCATTTAGACATATAGGCAAAATCAAAACTGTTCAACAGAATTTCTTTAAACTTGACATGTTGATAGAATATGATAACAGAAACATTTAAAAAAAAAAAAATGGGTCACTGTTCTTGTTTTTGAGTTATCTGCCCCTGAATCAGACATTTCTACTTATTTGAGGTCATTTCAAGGGCTGATAACTTATACATACTTAAATGATTTCTTGTTTTTACTTCTGGATTATGTTTTTGTGCCCCCACGTTAGTGGCGGGCATTTAGATTTACCCTTGTCCTTCCGTCCGTCTGTCCGTGGCCGTCCGCACTCACAGGAAGAGCTAATTATGTGGCTAGAGGGACAATAGGTTCTCTTTGATGTCATTCATTCCGTAATGCTTTTTATGTGGCTATTTTCTTTTGCGTGGCTAAAAAGAACAATAGAGAGAACAATAGAGTAGCCACAATAATTACTGTCCTGTGAGAAACATCCGTCCGCCAACCGTCCGTTCACTTTTGTGTCGCACTTAACTCAAAAAGTATTTGACCTAGATCATGAAACTTTAAACAGGAATGTTGATCAGCATGTGTGTAGTTGTGGCACCTGGGTATTTTGGGTCTGGATATATTTAGTATTTTCAGAGTTATTGCCCTTGACTTAGTAAAATTTTGCAAATTTTCAACTTGTGTTGCATGTAACTCAAAGTATTTGACCTACAAGTCATGAAACTTTTACAGGAATGTTTGATCAGCATGTGTAGTTGTGCACCTGGGTATTTTCGTCTGATATTTTTTAGTGTTTTCAATAGTTATTGCCCTTGATTTAGTAAAATTTTGCAATTTTTAACTTGTGTCGCACGTAATCAAAAAGTATTTGACCTAGAGTCATGAAACTTTACAGGAATGTTGATCAGCATGTGTAGTTGTTCACCTGGGTATTTTCGTGTGCATATTTTTAGTATTATTAGAGTTATTGCCTTTGACTTAGTAAACATTTTGCAATTTTTCAACTTGGTGTCGCACATAACACAAAAAAGTATTTGACCTAGAGTCATGAAACTTTACAGGATATTGATCAGCATGTGCAGTTGTGCACCAGATATTTCGTCTGGATTTATTTAGTAGTTTTTTTAGAGTTATTGCCTTCACTTAGAAAATTTTTGCAATTTTCAACTTGTGTCGCAAGTTTCTCAAAAGGATTTGACATAGTCAGTAAACCTTATGGGCAGGTTGCTCAGCATATTTTAGATTTGCACTTGGTGTTTCGCTTGTGGATTTATCCAGTATTTGTAGAGTTATTTCCCTTGACTTAGTAAAAAGATTGACAGAACAGTGTCGCGGTGGGGGCACCCGTGTCCTATGGACACATTTCTAGTTCTTTTTATTGTTGAGTACAATACATAATAATATGCAATTCCTTACATCGTTTCTGCTTATTTTTTTCAATGAAAATTAAGGTACTTAAATTCTTAAAAAATAGGCCATTTTATAAGAAAAATATGCACAGGTTAAAACAAGAAGTTGGAATAAAAACTAGAGCAATAGCCACTTAATTCGACATACCCATTTTTTCGACACCTTTTTTTACAAACATAATGAAATCCCAAAATTAAGGGTTTTTACTGATATTTTGATCGTTATTTACGTTCATCATTCATTTGATGACGTCTTGAAAAAAATTCAAACCACATTGGCACCCATTTCGCTGACATTGGATAGTACGAAAGAGTGGCTCGAAAATTCGAACATTAAAAAGTACTTCTTAGGGAAACGTGTTAGAGGTCGACATATGTATAATAGTAAAGCTACTATTTAATTTTTGTCAAATTATGCTATTATTAACTTTTTAAACACACTTATTGAAGTTGTTCTTCAAACTGGACCTTCAACAGCTTGTCTAGAGTTAAATCTCCCGCCAAGGCGTGAGTGTCGAACTTAGGAACCAAATTTTGAAGGAAGTTTGTGATTTTGACACACGTGACTGAATCAAACCAATTTAGAACTAACTTTAATCAAACTGACAAAATATGACATTCCATGTACGTATATTGTATTTGGCTGTGGACAAATAACTATTTACCAGAGTATATAAATGTTACTCCGTAAACACTTTTTGTTATTGAGGTATTAGATGCTGCAAATAAATTCTCATGTAGAAAAATACATTTCATTAGTAACATGTAAAGGTAATGTTTTCTGATTTTGTTTATTCCGAAAATATACAATGTATTTGGTTTAAATGAACTTCCGCAATACCTATATCAGTGTTTTACAGTTTAAAATTACATATTGATGCCTAATTGTGTATACTTGTCAACTGAATCTAATGAAAAGAAAAATGATAAACACTATTTTTTATGGTTCAAAGAGGTGAAATATCAAAGAAGATAAAAACAGCAATTACATTTGGCATCCTGACTGATAAGCTTAAGCTTAGTGGAAATGCACCAACTGGTTTGAATCTAAACAGTGCATGCTGACTGCAACACTACATGTAACCCATTATGAAGTAAAGATTAAAAAGTCTTAGATCATTTTGTATGGAAGAAAACACTTTTAGGAGACTATTTTACCTGGAAAAAACATTTGCAGGTATCAGTTATTTTAATACTAGTAGGCTACATGCTTTAACGGCTCCCTTAGTAAAGTGGCAGACTTGCTTGGACTTTGGGCCATTAGTGATACATAATTAATTATAATCAATTATGAGTATTTATATATAAACTCTACCGATTATGAATTCAGAGTAGACCTATGATTTAAACTAAGATCTAATCCAAAAAATGAAATATTTCCGCTAAACAGTCTGTCCGTGGTACATAATGTGCACTGCTGACGCAATGACGTAATTGGAAATCCCCGCTTCATACATTTTTCTCTATAATCAAATTATGTATGTAAAGACATTAAAAAAATGTATAGACTACAAAAGTCATACACATTTTTACTGATTTAAGACATGAACTGATAGTGTTTTTAATGCAATATTCTTTCATAATCATGTTTGGGTCGTAGAGTGTTATTAATAGTGTAAGAGTTCATTTCATTTTTATATTATTTGATCTTTTAATGTATTTCTCAAACCTTAATTAGGGTGTCGAATTTAGGATCACCATGTCGAAATACCGGACCCTCAGCGGACAAAGTTTATACTATTATTACATGGAAAACCTTAGATGCTACCTAAGAATTATTGTCTGAAAAGGGCACGAAAATGTCGGATACTGTAAAGTGCGGTGTTGAAATTAGGATATACATAAAAATGTCAAATTGTAACAAAAATTTATCGTAAAGTGTCGAAATATGGGTACTTTACTCTACCCACTCTAAATTTTTTCTAGAAATTTTGCATATCTACTAAAACGAAGGTAAGCTTCATAAAAATAAGAAAAAAAATTATATTAATTCCCTACATTGTAAAGTATCTGCTCTTGAATTTAACAAAAAAGTCCAATTCAAGGGCAGATAACTTAAAAACAAGAACATGAAATGAAAACACATAGAGCTAGATCTACTTTGGAACTCGGCAAATTTGTGTTTCTCCTCTTATCCTGTGTTAGAAACAGTTATACAGTTATAACTTGGTAAATTTGTTTAGGAGGAAAGTAAGTAAGTAAATAGGTTGGTAGATAGTGGATGGATGGGTGGAGTGGGGTGGAATGGAGTAGGTTGGGTAGGTTAGGTAAAGTTTGATTTTGGCTTTAGGGGTTGTAGGGTAACCGTAAGGTAGGGTAGGTGGGAAGAGGGGTAGGGTAGGAAGGTAGAGCATTTATTAGTCCCCTACCGGTTTACCGGAGGGGACTTTAGGTTTACCCTCCGTCCGTCTGTCCGTCCGTCCGTCTGTCCGTCCGTCTGTCAGTCCGTCAGTCCGTCCGTCCACAAAACTGGATCCCGCAATAACTTGAAAAGTACTGAAAATATTTTTATGAAACTTGGTATATGGATAGATGGCAGTATGGAGATTTATGCACGTCTTTTTCTTTTCTTCCTATGTTGAAAATTCTGGTTGCTATGGCAACAAATAGGCTGAAAATATGGCAAATTTTACACATAAACTGGATCCAGTGATAACGCAAAAAGTACTGGAAATATTTTTATGAAACTTGACATAGGGGTAGATGGCAGTCTTTGAGATTATGCACGTCTTTTTTCTTTTCTTCCTATGTTGAAAATTCTGGTTGCTATGGCAACACATAGACTGAAAATATGGCAAATTTTACACATAAACTGAATCCAGTGATAACTCAAAAAGTACTGGAAATATTTTTATGAAACTTGACATATGGGTAGATGCAGTCTTGAGATTATGCATGTCTTATCTGTTCTTCCTATTTTGAAAAAATATCAGTTGCTTGGCAACAAATAGGCTTAAAACATGGCAAATATAACAAAGTATTTGTGATTAGTCAAAAAGAGCTGAAAATTTTTATGAAATTGCATCTTTAATTCAAGAGTTATCTCCTGTTTAAGAATTTTGCTTTTAAAATGTTATATTTTGGTAACAGGGATGTTTCAAATATTAACTTTAGAGTGTCCTTCAGTCCGTCTGTCTGTCTGTTCATAAAAACTGTTTCCTGTGATCACTTTTAAAGAACTTTTCCAACAAATTTACTTAAAATAGAGAAAAATTGAAACATTAGTGAATGGCCCTTCAGAATGTTGATGGGGTTCTAACCGGTAGGGGACTTATGGATTGCTTGCAATACTATGATAATTGCTTGTTTAATGAGGCTTACACATTAGGTTTCCAGATAATCCATGACTGTGCACCTCAGATAATAAACATAAGATGTTGATCACTATATTGTGAATGGTAGTGCACCTTGATGTTAAAACAGTAAAATTTATACCTGGGGTTAACCACATTTGCCAAGTCCAGGATAACATTTAATAACATCTGTGAACCATGTTATAATTGTTTAAGTTACATACATGGATACTTAAAGTCACTGGCAGGTATGTGGCATATATCTGTTTATATAATTTAATAGCTGGAGGCAGAATGGTCAATGTCAATTGATCTGAAGTACAGTGGACTCCGGTTATAACAAACTCAATGGGACATTAAAATATCGTTTGTTATATCCGAAGTTCGCTAAAAGCGATTTAGCAACAGTTTGCTGATTTGTTAGGATGGGGAAATTTGCCATGAAAAAGCCTTACTTTTCACTGTTGCCAGTGTAACCAGTATCTTACTGCAGCGGTTATTTAATGGCTATTTAATGTGGGGCATTTAATTGAACAATATATTATGTACATGGTAAATGTATTTTTCTATTTGTTTATTATTGTTTGTTTAATATGTAATAGAAAGAGCACCAAAACACGAGGCTATCTGTTTTGTACGAGGGGTCTAGCCCTTGAGTATTAATCAAATTGTCGAGTGTTTCGGTGTTCTTTCTCTTTTGTCATAGTCAAACAAAAAAGGAGCATTTTCCCTGTTGTCACAATATGAAACCCCGGCAAAAATGAACCAATGAACAAGCATCTGAATATGACATTTCTGTCACTTTTCCTTTCTCTACCGTCACAATATGTAATCCCCAGCAAAAATGAGCCAATCAATAGGCATGCTCTGGAGTGCGGGTAACTAATACCCGCACTCCAGTTAACGCACTGTGCATGTATATGTATACGATTTAACCCTGACAAATTTTCAACAGAAAGGTCTCCAAACTATGATAAATTGTAAACAAAAACAATCGATTATTTTGGTTATTATCGGGTATTTACAGCAATCAACTGAGGGTGCCAAATACAAATTTTCCGTAACATGTAGGAAATTATGTTGTGAGAACATTTTATCAAAATCTTTATTCCTTGAAGCCATAACTAACTTGTACAATCATTTGATTGTATAATTATCAGATAGCATTATTCATGTACTGATCCTTATCGAGCGCATCCCGATATTTCAATTATAACAGTTTGTTATAACCGAGGATTTACATGTCTTCCGTCATTTGAGGCTTGAAAAATGGTTCGTTATAGCCGAAAATTTGTTATATTTAGCGAGTACGTATTTAGCAATGTGATTTATATATAAAATAAAGAAGGAATCAGACGGGGTTGTCACTGAGATTTAGTTCACTATTTACGATAATTTGTTTTAAGCGAGTTTGTTATAATTGGAGTCGACTGTATTAATCATGTCAGAGACGTCATGTCAATCCTTTTATATTGATGGAGCCCATTGTGGCTGAGAGGTTACCTTTAATGAATGTTCATTAAACTATATAAGGAGTTAACACGTTACTGCAATGAGGTGATGATTTGTTAAATACTTCAAGTCACTAAGTTTTTATCTTGTCAGGGACATCAGATTCAGCCAGCTGCCTTTTTGAAGGAGCACTTTATGAATTATGTCTGTAAAGAACAAAAAAAGCAAGCCTTGTTTTACTTCCTTCTTGAAAAAAAGTTTAGAAGACTAGACATTACCTTTAACCATTTTGAAAGCTTCATTTAGACCAACACCTGGACCGAAACCCACCTCTAGTATGTTATCGTTGGGTTGAATGTTGCATAACCTTACAGCTGCATGTTCCACCAACCTGTTCCTTTTAGCTAGATGTTTCTGTAATGGATTTAAAATGACTTTGTACTCATTTTTTTGTTGTGAAGTTGACCTGAATCTGCTTTTTTGTGTCAATGAAACTTTACAGGATTGATCTGTAGCTCAAGTCCTTGGGCATATTGCACAGGTTTTCCGGTTGAATGATTTTTGGCCGAGTTATGGTGCTTTGATAAAAGGTGTTTTTTTTTTCTGTGTGTTGCCAGATACACAATAGCTTGTTGGGACTACTCCTCATAAACTACTGGTGCAATTTTATCCAAACTTTACAGGTATGATCAGTACCAAGTCTAGTTGTGCACTGTCCGTCTGTCACAAAACTTGTCCCAACATGAAATTGGCCATCATGAGGCAACACGTGATCACTGGTCGCTCTTGTATTAAAAAAAGATTGACAATTGTAATAGTCATTAACCAAAAATTGAAACTAAAAATGTTTAAGATAAAATAGAACTGCCTGAAAAAAAAAAAAAAAAATCCCCACTCTCTTTTATCAGATTAGCATATACAATACATTCTGAATTATATTTATAAAATTTTCAGTGAGTCAGTACATCACATGGGCTACTGTTTATGTATACACATTAACTGTTAGCAATTATGGCAAGATCTAAAGTGATTTTGACCTGTACACTCACCATTTACACTTCCATTGATGGGCATAATGCCTTTTTAATGTTTCAAATGTACATGTATCTTTTAAACATGATTGTTAGTAAAACAAACAAGCTGTTTAAACACATCAAGTCTTTAATTCAATGACCTTTATCCGGCTAGAATTGAAAGGCATACATGGCCCAGTGGTTAAGGTTGTGGACTTCAAACCACTTGCACATTATTACTATGGGTTTGAATCCCAACTGGGACTTAAAATCCTTTCATGTGAGGAAGCTATCCAGCTAGCTTATGGAATAATGGTGGTTCTACTCAGGTGCCCCTGTTTGTGTCTGAAATAATGCACAGAAGTACATTTGAGGTGTTCCTTTACCAGTAAAGCTGTGTTGGTGCAACATAAAACTCAACAAATAAAATTGAAGAATTGAAAGTCTAAGCCTTCGACATCTGTATTATAAGAGCCAGGCAAAAAAGCACATCCATGCAGTCTGACCAGGCTCGTTACTGTTGTCTGACAAACTTCAAATTTTCATCTTGATATCCCCAAAATTATAATAGACTCTTCCAAAAATGGAAGCTGGACAAGTCCATTTAAGAAAATTTGCATGTTATAAATAAATTTACCATATATCATTTTCACAAAAAGTCTTTAATATTTACATTCATATTATTAAATATTCTGGGTTTTCGTTATTAACAAATTGGCGATCCATATCATTGGATGAAATGCTGTTAAAATTTGTTGTATTTTCAGCCTGTAGCCTTGACCCTTGGCCAAATCAGTTAATTTTCCTAGGCACATTTATTGCCTCAGATGAAAATTTAAAAAAAATGAACATGACTTTGAAATAAGTGATTAAGCATAAGAATAAATTTTAAATTTATAATTAGAAAAAACTGAGAAAACTTGCTTACAGTCACTAGATATCCCATAATGTCATTACTTGGATTCGCAAAGTTCTTTGAAAGGATACGTCGCATCATTGGTTTATGCTCGAGTTTTTCTGAAATGTAAAATAATAACTCGCCCTCACAGATAAATATTTTGATTTTAATAATTAGGATAATTATTATTATCTAAAAATGTAAGCAAAATCCTTAAGTTAACAAGAAGATACAAGTTTTTTAGCTCGACTATTCGATAAGAATAAGTAGAGCTATTGTAGTCACCTGAGCGTCGGCTTAACCACTTATGTTAAAGTTTTTGTAATACCTCAAATATTTTCAAAGTCCATTGACATATGGCTTTGAAACTTTGCACACTTGTTCACCATCATGACCCCAACCTGTAGACAGGAGGAGATAACTGTATCAAACATTTTGACAGAATTATGCCCCTTTTTTGACTTAGAATTTAGGTTAAAGTTTTTGTAATGCGACCGGGGGCTGCCTAGGGGCTGGGGCTGGCTGCTGCTACACTGTGCTGGGGTTGCGGCGGCCCTTACTGCGCATTACAACTTCTCCACTAATAACAGCAACACTGTACGGGAACCTAGACCTCTGGTAGAGCTATTCGGTACCAGTTGTTTAAGCTGTGGGGAATTAGCTGAGGTCTAAGCTGAGTCCCGATACAAAAATATAAAGTGTTCACCCCAAGCAGTTGGTTACGTTGTTTACCCTATTATTAGTATGTAGAGTGTGATAGCAGATAACTTTGATGAAATGAAGATGAACACAAATGTTCCTAATTACTTATTCAATTTATTGATTTTATTTATGTTACAGTTTAATAATGTTATATTTCAAGAAAGTTTTTAAAAGAATATATTAAGTCCACAATGTTTCTTATCAAAATGTTTTCATGATTCTTTTATCACACTTACATTAATTCTGATTCTGATTCCTAGTCTGTTCCTAACAATTCTTTAAAATTCCAATTCTTTCTAATCATTCTTTATTTTTAAAAGTTCCAATTCTTCTTTATAACCGTAAAAATCCTTAATTCTGTCTTAACTTATTTTGTCTCTCTTTATATATAATATTTTGGGGTATATTGATTTAAATAATTAATTAACCAATGCAAATTGAAAAACATTATAACCAATGAAAAATAGAGAAGTATTACATAATGCTTAATCTGGATAAAAATTGTCTTATGAAAAAAGGTATAAAACATATTCTGTATGTTACATAATTTCCTAATAGCATTAATTGCTAAAAGCTACAAAGTATTATAAATAAATAGCACCTAAACCAAAAGGTGTTAATAAAAGTAAAAGATTTCTAAAAGTAAAATAATAATAAATATTTTTAAGTGTCAAAAAGACTGACATATGTAATATTTAAGTATTAAGATAAACTTTACTAAAAATATGCCTTATGGCTTTTTACACCTAAACAGTAAGTTAATTAACAATATGATTATAATTTCAAAACATTACATTAAATCTAAAAATAAAGCATTTATCATAAAACATTCTAATAAATTACATACACACTCACATTCATACATAAAAAACTGGGGTCAAATATGCCCTTGGTGGCAGTACCTCAAATATTTTTAAAGTCCATTGACATATGGCTTTGAAACAAGTTGAAATATTATACTCTTCTTTGAGAGCATAATAGGACTCTCCTAGGCATATATCTGTAATATGGATTTAAAGAAAAATTTTACCCTTTTCTTTACTTAGAAAATTTTACATTATCAAGGCTTTTTTACTATCTAGCACTAAGAATAGTTCAGACCAAAGACTACCGACATTCAATACACGAAACTGTCATGCCACTTAAGTGACTAATGAATTTATCTTATGTGATTTGGTATATATAAAATTTTAATGCTTTAATTGAAAAGTTCAATGTTTTATGATATTTAAAAAAGTAACAAATAACTGCATTCACGCATTAATGATGAATAAAACGTTTGGCAAAGATCTTGTTATATTTCTCGCTGACTTCAAGGAAAATGTTTACTGACAAAATATCATTTTAGTTTACAAATTCAAAGATAGTTAAATTGATGTAGCAGAACATATAATAGTAAAATTATATCATTTCATTTCATTTATTGGCAAATCGGCATTATAAATGCCTTTGACGATGATTTACATACAAAATATGGCCAAGACATACAGTTTACATAAAAGTTACACAAAAACTACACATTTAATCTTTAAATAATAAATAATCACCAAATATCAAACATTAAGAAATTTTAAACTCACAATTGAAATAAATCCTAGGAAGCAATGAAACAGTAACATTTACAGATGTTTAGGGTTTTATGTGCGAAATCACTTATACAAGGGGTTATCCAAAAATTTGTGGACTTTCTTTGTTTCGTAAAATATATTTGAGATATTTATTTGAAATTCTTTCACTGCTTAGAAGAATTTATAATAAGTAAACACAGAAAAATTCATGTTAGTAGCTTCTTATATCACAACAATATTCAATGTTACATAAACACATGTCGGCGACAGCGGCACACTCCAAAAAGTCATTGACGTTAACTTCACAATAATGTACAAAGTGGGCTTCAACGTTACGCAGTCAATGACGGTTACTGCTTCTCAAAGTAATGTCCATCACTAAAGTTCTTTTGCCACTTAAACACTAATGATCTTTAAATTTTAATTTCTCTGTTCGTCTGCTAATTTTTGTGCCCCCACTTTAGTGGCGGCATTTAGATTTACCCTTGTCCGTCCTTCCGTCTGTCTGCACTCATATAAGAGTAATTATGTGGCTAGAGGGACAATAGGTAATTGTACCTTCTCTTTGATGTCATTCATTCCGTAATGCTTTTATGTGGCTTTTTTATTTTGTGTAACTAAAAAGAACAATAGAGAGAACAATAGAGTAGCCACATTATTACTCTCCTGTTAGAACATCCGTCCTTCCGTCCGTCCGTTCTCTTTTGTGTCGCACATAACTCAAAAATTATTTGATCTAGAGTCATGAAACTTAACAGGAATGTTGATAAGCATGTGCAGTTGTGCGCCTGGGTATTTTTGTCTGTATTTATTCAGTATTTTTAGAGTTATTGCCCTTGACTTAGTAAAAATTTGCAAATTTCAACTTGAGTGGCACGTAACTCAAAAAGTATTTGACCTAGGGTCATGAAACTTTACAGGAATGTTGATCAGCATGTGTCATTGTGCACCTGGGTATTTTGATGGGGATTTATTTAGTATTTTTAGAGTTATTGCCCTTGACTTAGTAAAAATTTGCAATTTTCAACTTGTGTCGCATGTAACTCAAAAAGGATTTGTCCTAGAGTCATGAAACTTTACAGGAATATTGATCAGCATGTGCAGTTGAGCACCTGGGTATTTTTATGTGGATTTATATAGTATTTATAGAGTTATTGCCATTGAGTTAGTAAAATTTTGCAATTTTCAACTTGTGTCGCATGTAACTCAAAAAGGATTTGACATAGAGTCATGAAACTTTACAGGAATGTTTATCAGCATGTGCAGTTGTGCACCTGGGTATTTTTATCTGGATTTATTTAGTAGTTTTAGAGTTATTGCCCTTGTTTTAGAAAATTTTGCAATTTTTAACTTGTGTCGCATGTAACTCAGAAAGGATTTGACATAGAGTCATTAAACCTTACGGGAAGGTTGCTCAGCATATGTTGTTGTGCAGTCCTGGGGTCTCGCTTGTGGATTTGTCAGTATTTGTAGAGTTATTTCCCTTCACTTAGTAAAAACCATTTCATTATGTTGTTATTTGTTCCTTGAGTGCTTTAGTAAGAATCAACCAACTTTACAGGAATAATGATCAACATCACTTAATTACATTAATAATGATCAACATAACTGTGAAGCTATGCAACTGGTACTTTGCTTGTGAATTTTTTTCAGTTTTGTTAAGAGTTATAATTGCCCTTGATTTACAGTAGTATAAATTTGCAATTTTCAACTTGTTCCTGCATAGCTGAAAAAGTATTTGACTTGTAGGCCTGAAAGTTTACAAGAATGTTGGTCAACATGTGTACTTATGCACCTTGGGGTTTGCTAGTGGATTTATTCAGTATCCCTTCACTTAGTAAAAGATTTTTAGTTTTCAACTTCTGGCATATGTAGTCCAAAATATATTTGGCCTAGAATCATAAGATTGACAGAACAGTGGGGTGTGGGGGCACCCTTGTCCTATGGACACATTTCTAGTTATCAAATGTTTATGTAAGTGTCATTACCAAATTACAACAAAATTTTATGATCACGCGATTTTCTTATTACTGCATGTCCGTCATTTTCCCGTTGTTAACAATATCGGCGTCTGGCGTTTCTAGCGAATTATCAACAAAAATTAACGGTAATGATTTCCACTGTTTTGAAGATTTGCTTAAATGACATCATAGAAGAAACATGCGATGTTTTGCGAGTTTTCTATGTTAATTTTTTAGTTTTTTAGCAAGAATTATACGAGGATTTACTGAGCTTTTCTACCGTACGCCAGGTGCCATGTATGTGCTTATTTAAAAGCAAATAAAATCATTATTTATTGACACAGTTAACTGTTCCTTTCAAAATGTGTTAATAATATTCAACAATGTATGCTGATAAATGTTCTTTACAATATACGTTGACGTTCAAGAGATATTTAAAAAGTGCACAAATTTTTGGATAACCCCTCGTATGTAATGCATTTGTGCATGTAATGCATTTGTGCAGAAATAGTCAAAATTTAAAATTAAATTAAAATTAAAATTGCCCTTTCGTAACTTTGTTGTATGATATATGATTATATGTATATCTGTGCATTAGATATTTTCGTGATCAAATGAATATTATTCACTTCAAAATAAGTTTGGCATATACCAGACCTCGGCTTTAGATTAAAACCGTGATAAGATATGATGTTATTGAAGCATGAAATGTATTTAAATATTTAATCTAAATTCATTGAGCATTAATAGAAATATTTAGGTAGGATAATTTCACCTAAAATATTTATTGCATATTTTCTCATTTTATTTCCTTTAAGTCCTTTTTATGCCCCCGGGCATATAGTAATTGAACCGTCCGTCCGTCTGTCCGTACGAGGTTAACCTAGAACGGCAAGTTGGATTTTTCTTAAGTTCTACCTGTACCAATAGCTTCTAAGTTTACACACTTACTAATCAATACAAAGTACATGATCTGGGCAAGTTTCATAACTCTGGCTTTCATATTTACTAAGTTATTGCCCTTTTCAGCACTTAGAAAATGAATAGTGGTTAACCTAAAACGGCAAGTTGGAAATATCTTAAGTTCTATCTATACTAATGGCTTTATAATTTCCACACTTACTTATCAATACAAAGCACATGATATTGCCAAGTTATATAACTGTGTCATCCATATTTCCCAGTTATTTACCTTTTTTCACTTTGAAAATAGGGCCTTGTCTGGTTAACCTATTTCGGCAAGTTGGATTTATCTAAATCTAAATTTCTCCTAATTGCTTAATTTCTTTAATGATATCTTTCATATTTAGTAGGTGGATACCTTTGATGGTCCTCTAATTTTTTTTGGAGTAAGCGGTCTCTAGGGTCAAGGTCAAGGTCACTGGTTTAAAAAATAAATATAAACCTTTTTGCTCATACAGCCTTTATTTTTTAGTTGATGTCTTAGTTTAATACAAACACCTCCTTCTTTGGGTGTAGTATGGGGTCATTTGGGTCAAGGTCAATGTTACCAATGTCAAGGTCACCAATGTTAAAAATAGATTTTTACATTTTTACAGGTGTATTGACCTTATTCTATAGACAGATGTTATTTATAATTGATAGAAACATAAACTTTGATGGAGATAGTGGTCAGTTGGGTCAAGGTCACCAGTGCTAAAAATAGATTTTTACACATTTGCTCATACAGCCTTTATTAAGTGACCGATTTATTTTATATTTGGTAGGAAGATAACTTGCATGGTATTCATCCTTTTGATTGGGGTAGGGATCAGTGGGTCAAGGTCACTTGTGCTAAAAATAGATTTTTACACTTTTGCCCATACAGCTTTTATTTATTGACAGTTGTATTTCATATTTAGTAGGAAGATAACTTGCATGGTATTCTTCCTTTTGATGGAGTAAGGGGTCAGTTGGGTCAAGGTCACAAGTGCTAAAAATAGATTTTTACACTTTTGCCCATACAGCCTTTATTTATTGACAGATGTATTTCATATTTGGTAGGAAGATAACTTACATGGTATTCTTCTTTTGGATAGAGTTAGGGGTCAGTTGGGTCAAGGTCACCAGTGCTAAAAATAGAATTTTACACATTTGCTCATACAGCCTTAATTAAGTGACATATATATTTTATATTTGGTAGGAAGATAACTTGCATGGTATTCATCCTTTTGATGGGGGTCGGGATCAGTGGGTCAAGGTCACTTGTGCTAAAAATAGATTTTTACACTTTTGCCCATATAGCTTTTATTTATTGACAGATGTATTTCATATTTGGTAGGAAGATAACTTGCATGAAGTTGAATATTTTTCAACTTCACAAGTCAGGGCAATGACTTGGCAACTTATATTTTTCACAATTACAAAATGCCATGACTTTGTCAAGCTCTATAACTTGTGTTTACAATTTTTTGGCGATTTTTCTGCCCATAACTGAGTGAATGGGTAAACATTTTTTGAAGTATTGCTACTGACAAGAATCTGAGCCGGGGGCATTTGTGTTTAACAAACACGTTCTTGTTTATGTTATATTAATAGAGACGGTGGTGGTAATGTCAGCTCTGAAACTTCAGTATGCATGGAAGGATTGTAATCTTTCTTTTATATATATGAAATAACCATAGATGAATGGTTGGCTCTGGAACTTCAGTATGCATGGAAGGATTGTAATCTTTCTTTTATATATGAAATAACCATAGATGTATGGTGTGCCGCAAACAAGACTCTGGTTTCTACGACTTAGGTCTAGGTCACTGTGGGGGTTCAAACTTTGTCAAATTTGATTTCAATATACATATATATGGTCGTGTCTGCTCTGAAACTAATATGCGGTATTCTCAGACATCTTTGCGTGAAACTGATAACAATCGTCGATTGGCTTATCTGTAAGACCCCTGCCAGCTTGATTGACAGGCGGCGTAATGTCAATTGTTGTACTGCTTCACATATCACTGCATTGAATAAATAGTTCTACAGTTAAATCACATAAATTTTAAAATATTATTCACACCTCATCTTATTTTATTCTAGTCTTATCATAATATTTGAGTTATTTATACTGTATTAAACATTCCTTGCTTAAAATAGCTATGTAGTCTTCTTACTAACGATGTAGTAACATCAGTTATCTGGTAAGATTTTTCACCTGATGTCCTATCATGTGGAAAATTAATGGGAACTTTAGATTTGCCTCCGTTTATCAGTCTGGGATCAAATATCTAATGATTGAGGTGTTTTTATCTTAAGGTGTTTTTATCTTGAAGTGTTTTTATCTTAAGGTGTTTTTATCTTAAGGTGTTTTAATCTTAAGTCTTAACCCAGACAGAGTGATCTTAGGATTCAATTTACAATGGGTTCATGACCTTGATTGCTCATATGATGTAACTGTTGACCTGTGACTAAGTGGTTATGGGTGCTAACTTTAAATCACTAGCCCCTCAACCCTGTTGGTTCCAACCCAGCCAGAAAGTCTGGATTATTTGGTGTGAGGGATTCTTTGATTCAGGTAGCTTTATCAAGATGCTTGGTAATGATATGTTAATAAGCTATCTGGCCTCCAAGGCTGAGTGGTTAAAGTGGCTGACTTGTAATCACTTGTATCTTACCGTTGTGGGTTCGGGATCCCTTCAGTCATGGACTTCAGATGATTTTATGTGAAGAAGCTAAATCCAGCTAGCTTACGGATGGTCAATGGTTCTATACAGGTGTCCACTCATGCCTGAAGTATTGCATAAAAGGGCACCTAATGTCTTACCATTTCTGCAAAGCTTGACCCTATGATCTTTACTGTGTCCGTGTCTCTTAGATTCAAACAGCAAAAAAAAAGGTTGATCGTTCTGAACTTCGATTAGGTGCCTCCTCATGCCTTAATATATAAAGGGGCACGTGAGGTCACCCTACCCCAGTAAGTTGATAAAATGTTCCCATGTGATGTTTACAGGTTTGGTATATGAAAACATAAGAAATCGAAAGAATTTTGATATTTCTTGTTTACCTTACAGGTGCCTGTATTTTCATTCTCCCGTCTCCAAGGAGCAGATGTGTTGCTAGGTGTAGAGATGGCCAGCACAGGTGAAGTGGCTTGTTTCGGGGAGAACAGACCAGAGGCTTATCTGAAGGCACAGTTGGCCACGGGCTTCAAAATCCCGAAACAAAATATCCTGGTATCCATCGGAAGCTACAAGGTATATTTAAGAGAACTTTGAAAGATTTTATATTATAAATTTGAAGAAAGTTTATAGAGTATAGCATATATTTTAACAATGGAAAAATTGCAAGAAAAAAGGATAATAATTCTCTATTATATTTCAAAACAAGAAAACTGAACTGATAACTGTTATAGTTGCTTAATATTAAGGTTGAATTTTTTTTTTTAATGTTGCCCATTGTTAATAGTGTACTTTGTGTATTTGAGTCAAAACTTGTGAAAATATGGTGTGGTGTTTTTGTACAATTTTAGCACAAGAGTGAGCTTATTCCAACAATGAGGACACTGGTGGACCTGGGATATACACTGTATGCTAGTATGGGAACAGCGGACTTCTATAATGAACATGGTTTTAAGGTATGATACCAAATTTTATCATCAGGCGTTCTCGGGTTTTTAGGAGATACTGTTGTGCTAGTTCAAGTAATTGAGATAGAAAAATCAGAGAAAAATCAGCAAGATGTATTTGATTAGAATAAAAGATGAGCCTGTTGTGAGCAGATTTGTGTACTGACCAACAAATATTTTCTTAAGGTGTGGAACACAAAACTAAATTTTTTTTTATATGTAAAATTTATGACATACCCATGCCGTTTTTGCAACTCCGTAAAAATGGTATTGCACGGACATGCATATATTTTGATGTGACGTCATTTGTGTTATATAAGCATAGCGTTAAGACGCGCTATATGTTAGCATTATACTGTAGCCGCATCAATGAAAAATAATGTGGTTTTTTTCACTTCAAACGGTCTTTATTTTTGGTATGTGATAAATAGAATATTGTATTTGTGCAAATTCATTACTTTCCTCTATTTATTGTTTATTTTCACCACAAATCATATTGTTCTGTTCCTACAAAGAGTTGTCATTTCATAAATAGAGGATATCAAACGAGTGTAGATTCAATACTGAATTTATTGAACGAGTTGTATAAAATTATATCATGTAAGCCTCTGGCCTAAATGACGTTGGAGCATCGTAAAACCAAACCAAACAAAGCAAACAAACTTATATGATTTACCATATGGTATGATTTTTAGGTAAAGCCTGTTGACTGGCCCTATGATGATTACAATGGTGATGAAAAGATCAACGGGAACCAGCTTACAATTGCTGACTATCTTGCCGAGAACAAGTTTGACCTTGTGATTAATCTCCCCTTGCGTAGTGGCGGCCAGAGGGCGTCATCCTTCGTTACCCAGGGTTACAAGACTAGGAGAATGGCGGTGGATTACTCAGTCCCACTAATCACAGACGTGAAATGTACAAAACTGATAGTGGAGGTATGTAGCGAATAATGTTCCGAATGAGATAAAAATATTTCATAGACAAAAATAATCTATTATTTATTTATTCATAGATGTTTTTGGGTTTTTTTATGAATCGTAGATCACAGAGAGTAGCTTCACAAAGAAAAGAGTAGTTGAATTGTTTTAAATTTCCGGTACAAAACAAATAATAAGTTATAAATATAGAATACATTTTAATAAAATTTATGGTAATGAAGAAGTGATCAGAAGAATAAGAAAATTGTGTTAGCAATATCAGATGAATAATTCCTTTTTGTATTAGTAAGACAACCTTGATGATGATTCCGCAAGTGTTTCCACACCTATAAGTGGTAGTGACAAAAGTGCATCGCCATTTGATGTTAAAGGTAGAAAAGCCGGCAAAGAAGTTTTAAATGATTTGATATTCAAAGTATTTTGAATACGAAAAAAAAATGTAGAAAATGCTATAAAAAGAATTTTTTTAGATTTCTTCATTTATTTACAGAATTCATGTTTATTTTTCTACTTTTCCTATGGGTATGTATAAAATCATGCTTACTGTGTGTCTTAGAACTGTCATATACTTCTTTAATTTTCATAAGAAAGTGTGGCTTTTTTGAAAGTTCCGGGATATACGGTTACTATGGAAACTGCTATTTTACAATAAATCCAACATATCAACATCAAGTTTTCTTTTTACTTTTGAATTCACTGTTAAATTTAGCTGGTGACACAAAAATTTAGAAAATTCTGTGAAAAGATTAAATTTTCCTAAAACTGTAGAAAATGCTTTTAATATACAGAATATATATTACAGCTGTCTTGGGTGAATATAGCTTTCCCATGTCAACCTTTCCTCTTGTATTTAAATATAAAACCGGTACCCTTGGCCTACTGGTTAAGGCGTCCACCTTCGCATCGGCAAGTCGAAGGTTCGGGCCCACAGGGAGTGTCAATTAAAGGATGAATGATTCTTGCGGGACTCATTCCGAAATGGCCGCTTCGTGAGCCGGGAGGTAGTTAAAATGAATGGTTACCTATTTCTATCCGCCTGGCGCCTGGCATAGTGGTAGAAGTTGGGAGGAACATGGTATGCAAGCAAAAGGTGTCTCATAAGTCAGAAATGGCTGACCCTTTCAGTAGGAGTGACACTTAATAAACAAGACCTTTAACTTTATATAAAACATATCATGTTAACAGATGCACTTACTATAAGTCTCATCTGTTTCCATTACATAGGGGGTTATCTTTAAAAAAGACAAAAAAAATTAACATGCATGATATTTCAATCATCATAGATGACATAGGTCAGTGCTTGCAGTGTAATTGTTTTGAATACCATTGTCCCCAAAGCTATACTTTTATGCTGTGAATTTCTTTTTATAGAGTGTTTAAGTTTTTCATACCCCAGTTAGATTTTAAGATAAGTTTGATAAAAAATAATTTCTGAAAAAGAAATGAAAACATATTTTTTTTTTACTTTATCAAATACATATATGTATATTGCAGGGTACGGTCGAAATTCAGAAAATTTGATATAATATAGACTTGATAAATGATAATTCTTGAAGAAAAAAAAATGGAAAGGAAATTTTTTTTTAACTTTATAAATTACATATATTTGTAACAGGCATTGAAGCGTTTGAAGACAGCTCCACCACTTAAGACCCATATTGATTGTATAGCCTCCCAGAGAGTGATTAAATTGCCAGGTATAGTGATTTTTTGTTTCCTTTAATGCATTTTTTAAGAAAAACAAAAACATTTTTGTCACTTTAATGTCAATTTCTTATATTTTGCTTATTTATTTAATGCCGCCTTCAGCTTTTCTAAAGGGTAGATATGTTATTTTGAGATCAATTGTTGTTTTGCTGTATGGAGGTTAAATATAATGAAAAGCAGAATTGAACCTGTTTATTGTATATTGTAAAGAGGTAATTTCTATGCAGAGAGGTCACTCTGCAGAGGGCTACTGTAGCAAAGTAGATGAATTGATTGATTAATACACTTGCTATTATATATAGTAACAAAATTCCCTATGATTTCAACTGATTATAAGTGTCATGTGACTGAATATGAATTTGCGGCCTGTTGAGGAATACTTATAATAATTACCGAGTTGCTGAGCACGAGTACATGCACAATTGAAACAGTGACGTCACATTTAATGTCATCAAAACGGCTAGCTGTAAAAGTAGGTTTTAAGCAAGATTGAAGAATCGCTTGATTTTATAAAGAGAACTTAAGTGTATTTTGTACAAACACAGTTTTATTGTGTCGCCTTGAAAAAGGCGACATATAGGGATTACTTTTGTCGGCGGCGGCGTCTGCGTCGTTGTCGGCGTCCCCTAAAGCTTGTCCGGAGCATAACTCAGTCATTTTAAGTTGGATTGACTTCAAACTTGGTATGCATGCTTCTTTCAATAACACGAAGTGCAGTGCACAAGGACCGGTACTCTGCACTTTTTAATTTTTGAGTTATTGCCCTTTGTAAATTTTCATACTTTAATTTTGTCCGGACCATTTCTCTTCAACTAAAAAAGCTATGGACTTGACACTTCATAGGATGATAGATCTCATTAAGAAGAAGTGCAGTGCACAAGAACCGGTACTCTGCACTTCCTAATTTTTGAGTTATTGCCCTTTGTTAATTTTCATACTTTATTTTTGTCCGGGCCATTTCTCCTAATGTATAAAAGCCATGGACTTGAAACTTCATAGGATGATAGATCTCATTAAGAAGAAGTGCAGTGCACAAGAACAGGTACTCTGCATTTCTTATTTTTTGAGTTATTGCCCTTTGTTAATTTTCATACTTTATTTTTGTCCGGGCCATTTCTCCTAATGTGTAACAGCTATGGACTTGAAACTTCATAGGATGATAGATCTCATCAAGAAGAAGTGCAGTGCACAGGAACAGGTACTCTGCATTTCATATTTTTGAGTTAATGCCCTTTGTTAATTTTCATACTTTATCTTTGTCCAGACCATTTCTCCAAAAGTATATAAGCTATGGACTTGAAACTTCATAGGATGATAGATCTCGTTAAGAAGAAGTGCAGTGCACAAGAACCGGTACTCTGCATTTCTTATTTTTTGAGTTATTGCCCTTTGTTATTTTTCATACTTTATTTTAACCAGGTCATTTCTCCTCAAGTATGAAAGCTATAGACATGAAACTTCTTAGGATGATAGATCTCATTAAGAAAAAGTGCAGTGTACAGGAACCGGTACTCTGCATTTCTTTTTTTGAGTTATTACCCTTTATATATTTTCATATTTTATTTTTGTCCAGGCCATTACTCATAAATTATAAAAGATATGGGCTTGAAACTTCATAGAATGATAGATCTTATTGATAAGAAGTGCAATGCATAAAACTGCTGCTCTGCACTTATTATTTTTTGAGCTATTGCCCTTTGTTAGGTTTCGTATTTCATTTTTGTCCTGGCCATTTCACCTAAACGATATTGTTCACAAGGCGACACATCCGACTCGCGGAGTTTTAGTTGAACTTTAAAGAAAGAAAAAAAATCTCTTAATACAACTACCGTTTCTTGTTTACTTCAGGTCTGATTGATGTACATGTCCATGTGAGAGAACCTGGGGCCACACATAAGGAAGATTGGAGCTCGTGTACAGCCGCAGCACTGGCTGGTGGCGTCACCATGATACTTGCCATGCCAAACACAAATCCCCCAACAGTGGATGAGGCTGCATTTGCTTTGACACAGGTATCATTTCTGTTTTGAGATGCTGATATAGTTAGGGTAAAAGTCATCATGCCAGGTGCTTGGTGTGAATCCAACAGCAGAATTAATAAATATCTTTGCTTAAAAGATATTTCAACAAGGTGGAAATTAAGTTTCAAGGAACGTAATTTGGTTTGAACATTCAACAATCTCTGATGCCAACTAGACTTTTGTATATGATCTCGAAATGGATTAAAGTCTTGACATAATTTACATGTCTTCATTTTTTTGGACATTTTTTCGAACTATATTATTCTACTATTTGTTGTGTGTAATTTAAAAGTAAGTGCCTTGGAAATATGAGGCACCGGTATATGTTACATACATATGTATTTTGTTGGATATATTTTAGAAACTGGCAAGATCAGGAGCAAGGTGTGATTTTGGTGTTTTTGTCGGGGCCAGCAGTGACAACTATGCCAGCCTTCCATCCATAGGAAACATGGCCGCAGCTCTGAAGATGTACCTCAATGAGACATTTACAACTTTAAAATTAGATGATATCTCCATCTGGATGAAGGTATGAGAATAATTCATAACTAGAATGATGAAGTTACGAGCATTATGCATAAGCAGGATGGTGAAGGTATGATAACTCATAACTTGATTGATGAAGGTATGAGGATAACTCATAACTAATATGATGAAAGTATGAGAGTTACTCATAATTAGTGTGATGAAGGTTACTCATAAATAGTATGATGAAGGTATGAGAATTACTCATAATAAGTATAATGAATGTATGAGATTTACTCATTAAGTATGATGAAGGTATGGGAATTACTCATAATTAGTGTGATGAAGGTATGAGATTTACTCAATAAGTATGATGATGGTATTGAAATTACTCATAATTAGTGTGATGAAGGTATGAGATTTACTCAATAAGTATGATGATGGTATTGAAATTACTCATGATTAGTGTGATGACGTTATGGGAGTTAATCATAACTAGTATGGTGAAGTTTGGCAATTACTCATAATTAGTATGATGAAGGTATAAGAATTACTCATAACTAGTATGAAACATTGTCCCTTAGCTGAACTGCTAAGGTAACTTGACTTTGAATCATACTAGAGTAGATTTATTAGTTCAAGACTTACTGTATATTATGGCAGATTTCACAAAGAAATATTACAAATAGGTCAATGTCTTATGATGAATTTAAAAAACCCAAACAATAATTTATTAAGAATTTGATGCCTGAATAGGCATCCAACTTTGAGATTGTTATTATAATGTACACTCATAATTTATTTTTCAGCATTTTGAGCACTGGCCAAAACATTTGCCACTATGTACCCATGCTGAAGGAACCCACACTGCGGCGGTGATATTGTTGGCAGAACTGTATAAGAGACCTGTCCATATTTGTCATGTTGCCCGCAGAGATGAGGTGTGTTACGTTAAAATAACGTGTAATGTTTAAAAATTGTTGAATTTCTTATTAAGGGTGAATAATGTTAATTAAAGGAATTCCGCTGAGGTTAAAAATCTTTAAAAAAAAAATGAATTTCTTACAACTGAACACCTGTGGGACTAGCAGAAAAGTTCGGATTTTAGAAGTTTCCGGAATTCAGAAGTTTGGAGTTATCTCAACACGTATATGTAGGAACATAAAAAATCAGTTGTTTCAAGTAGGAACATAAAAAATCAGTTGTTTCAATAAGAGATGATGAAAAATATATGATGTTAATAACATTTATAAAATGGCAGAATTTGAGTTTCTTAAAAAGTTGATCAAATTTTATTATCCCCTCTTACTGACTTTTGTCAATCAGCATGAAGTTAATAATCACAATTATCCTTAGAAACATGTTTAATGTAGTACCAGCTATTCATTTGTAATCTGTTTTTCACGCTACATGTATATAATTCTAAGTTTCTTAATTTTCACTCTTTAAAGTTAATACCTTACTTTCTAAGTCAAATTTTGGGAAACATATATTATTAAACTCTAAATGAAACTAAGCAATTGAATTTATATCAAGTTTTGTTGTGTGTTTTTTTTTTTTTGGTGGGGGGGGGGCTTTAATAAGACAGTGTATAATTAACATTCCCAATATTTTTTGACAGATACTAGTTATCAGGGCAGCAAAGGAGAGGGGACTACCTGTAACATGTGAGGTTGCCCCACATCATCTCTTCTTGACCTCAGATGACCTTGATGGTATAGGTCAAGGTTGTGGTCAGGTCAAACCACCATTGGTTACCAAGGAGGACCAGGAGGCATTGTGGGAAAACATGGATATTATTGATTGTTTTGCTACAGATCATGGTAAGGAAACGTTTTTAGACGCACAAAAAGTTAAGAGAGGCCACTTTAATGCTTCTGATATTGCTATGATCTTGCAAAGTTCAAGTTAATTCTGTTATACAGTTTTCATTCTGCTTAGACATGTATGTCTATATATTATCCAAGCTTGCATGTTTAAGTATAATATTTATTTCTGTTTGTAATTAAACTTAAAATGGTTATTCGGAGTTGTTTCTCTGTAGCATTTGTCATTCTGAGTTGTTTTCCTTAAGCTGTTTCCATTAGCATACAGCTTTAAAGGGACACAACTCAAAATGATCATTAAAATTTAAGTTGTTTCTCACTAGCATTTGTCGTTACGAGTTGTTTCCCTTTGGTCATTTATATGGGATGCCCTCTAGTATGTGTCCTCAAAGGGACACAACTCCAAATGATCAACAAATGTTTAGGATTCAGTTTGAAGAAGAAACATAATTTTCTTTCAGCTCCACACACTAGGGAGGAAAAGAACAGTGCTAAGCCCCCACCAGGTTTCCCGGGTCTAGAGACCATGTTACCTTTACTTCTCACTGCAGTCAGTGAGGGTAGACTAACAATGGAGGTGAAGTATTGCTTAATTGGAGATATTTTTATCGCTTTTCATCGATTTTCAAAGGATATTTTTATTTACCCTCAACTTGCTGAATATGTGTCAAAAGATTGGCGCATTTGACTTATTTGGAGCAGCATATTCAAAATTAAAGGGATTTCAACATCAAATACTAACAGTGAACATTCAACAGTATTGGGCCCAGTCAGACTGCACGGGGGTAAAGGATGGCCTGACTCTATACTGGTGGCAAAAGCTAATGACTTTTGGGTCCTGCAGGTTAAGGATTAAGTAGAGTAATATTTACACGTTAAAGGCACATGATACCTCAGAAATAAATAAATTTTTACTTCTTTAGAAATGGCAATCATAAATTTTTATGCCACCGCAGCATCTGCGATGCGGTGGCATATAGCGATTCACCTGTGTGTGTGTGTGTTTGTTTGTGTGTGTGTGTGTGTGTGTGTTATATAGATTATATAGTGAACTTAAAAAATCTTCTTGTGAAAAACCAGTAGTCCAATTTCAACCAAACTTGGCAGGATTGATCCTTGGGTGAAGGGCTTCCAAAGTTGTTCAAAGAATTTCATTCCATGCAGAAATCTGGTTGCCATGGCAACCAAAAGGAATTATAAGAACAAATTTAAAAAATCTTCTTGTAAAGACCCAAAAGGCCTAGAGCTTAGATATTTTGCATAAGGCATTGTCTGGTAGACCTCTACCAAGATTGTTCAAATTATAGCCCTGGGGTCAAAATCGGCTCCGCCCCGGGGTCATTGATTTTCACTATATGTTCATATAGTAAAAACTTAAAATACCTTATTGTAAAGACCCAAATAGCCTAGAGCTTAGATATTTTGCATAAGGCATTGTCTGGTAGACCTCTACCAACATTGTTCAAATTATAGCCCTGGGGTCAAAATAGGCCCCGCCCCGGGTCATTGTTATATAGATTATATAGTGAACGTAAAAAATCTTCTTGTGAAAAACCAATAGTCCAATTTCAACCAAACTTGGCAGGATTGATCCTTGGGTGAAGTGCTTCCAAAGTTGTTCAAAGAATTTCATTCCATGCAGAAATCTGGTTGCCATGGCAACCAAAAGGAATTATAAGAATAAATTTAAAAAATCTTCTTGTAAAGACCCAAAAGGCCTAGAGCTTAGATATTTTGCATAAGGCATTGTCTGGTAGACCTCTACCAAGATTGTTCAAATTATAGCCCTGGGGTCAAAATCGGCCCTGCCCCGGGGTCATTGATTTTCACTATATGTACATATAGTAAAAACTTAAAATACCTTATTGTAAAGACCCAAATAGCCTAGAGCTTAGATATTTTGCATAAGGCATTGCCTGGTAGACCTCTCCCAAGATTGTTCAAATTATAGCCCTAGGGTCAAAATCGGCCCGCCCCGGGGGTCATTGATTTTCACTATATGTACATATAGTAAAAACTTTAAATACCTACTTGTAAAGACCCAAAAGGCCTAGAGCATAAGGCATTGTGTTGTAGACCTCTACCCAGATTGTTCAAATTATAGCCCTGGGGTCAAAATCGGCCCTGTCCGGGGGTCATTGGTTTTCGTTATATGTATATAGTAAAAACTTTAAAAAAAATTCTTCTAGCAATTGACAAATGCTAGAGGTTAGATATTTTGCATGAAACATTGTGTAGTGAACCTCTAGCAAGATTGTTCAAATTATAGCCCTGGGGTCAAAATTGCCCCCGCCCCGGGGGTCATTGATTTTCAATATATACATATAGTAAAAAATAAAAAAATCTTATTGTCTGTAGGTACAAGGTACAAGGCTTCAAAAACTTAAAATACCTTCTTGTAAATGCCCAAAAGGCCTAGAGCTTAGGTATTAATGCGGTGGCATAGCATTTTTCTCAAATGCAATCTTGTTTTAGTGTTAAAAATAATGGTTTTAGAGAACGTTAGAGGCTTTTCACCTGGAGAAAGTAACTATAAATGTGAAATAATTTGTCATTAAGTAATAAGTAGTAAAATGTAAACAAAGCAGTATTTTCATTTCTATACCAAATGCTTATTCGCTATAACTGTACTTAGTGCCAAAAGCAATACACAAAAAAACAAAACCGATTCAGATAATTGGCCAGTTAGTAACTCTTTGGATACTATAAAAGTACACCATAATTAAAAAGCTTTTGAGAAATAAAAATAATAGCATTTCTAAGGCATAATGGGCCTTTAATGCATTAGATATGAGTAATCATCATTGCTTTCTTTATTGCTTCACTTGATTTATTTTGAATTGTATTTGTTTCTGCATTGGTAGGACTTGATTGAAAGATTGAACACAAATCCTAAGAAGATATTCAATTTGCCTGACCAGCCTGATACATACATAGAGGTAGATCTAGACACCACCTGGATTATTCCGAAGGCAATGAAGTTCAGTAAATCTAAGTGGACCCCGTTTGAAGGGCGTAGTGTGAAAGGAATGGTGCGAAGGGTGGTTCTTCGTGGAGAGGTGGCTTATATAGATGGAGAGGTATTAGAAAAATATATAAATTTGTCAGAAACCCATTGGCCAACTTATTGTTCATACGGTAGAGAATTGATAAAGTAAGCTGAAAGTGGAAAGTTTGATCCCTAGTCCAGGTGCTTATGTTTCTAACCCGTTTGATGTAGGATTTCTTGCGAGCTGTAAGTTAAAGAAACTCCACTGCAGTTCAAAAGACTTCAAGTATAAGTTTAACAATCATCTAGTGAAAAAAAAATTAAGTTGAGCACTTAAAATGGAAAAATCTGCAAACAATAATCAAGAAATATAAAACCTAACATTTTAGCCAGATTTGAAGTATCAGATTTAGGTGAAGAAATTGTGACTTTGTAAAAATGAAACAAATAGGGTACATTTGAAATAATTATAATGTATCTTCAAGATTTCCTGATTTTGAACTTATTCTAGAAAGGTAATGACTACAATGTAACATGTGTTTATTGCCGTAGCAAAATATTAATGCAAAATATGCACTTTGTCACTTTATTTGCCGGGTTGTACTGGTGCAAACCCAGGTTATAGTATGGTGAATGTCGGGGGGCGGGCTGGCGGGGAAAATATTTTCGTAAGTTTTCTCAGTAACTACTTATCACAGCCTCTTGATATTTGGCAAACAGCATTGACACATGGTCCCATACCGTGGGATTTGATTTCAGGTTTGCAGCTCATCAACTTCTTGTTCACTCACTTAGTTAAATTTTATTGGTAGGAAATTTTCAAAACAGTTTTCTCAGCAACTACTAATCACAGCCTCTTGATATTTGGCATACAGCATTGACACATGGTCCCATACCGTGGGATTTGTTTTTAGGTCTGCAGCTCATCCACATTCTGTTTACTGACTTAGTTTAATTTTTCGACATTAATGGTCAGTGTTAAATTTTATTCGTAACATCACAGCATCATGATATTTGGTATACAAATGCAACCCGGCCTTTTCTGTTTTTGACCCACTTTTAAAAATGCAGGAAACTAAAAATTTGAAAGTCATACATAGATTGGTTCTTGAATCTTGTTTTGAAGGTTTTGGCAAAGCCAGGGTTTGGTCAAGATGTGAGAGCAATGCCTCTGAAACCGTCGGCACCTGTCCAAGACCAGCTGTCCATCACCATACCTGTAGTGTCACGACCTCCATCCGAACCTCAGAGTCCAGTACGAAGACTGAAGCCAGACAAGTACAACTTCCCATCAGTTCCTAAACCTACACGAGTGGTGGATATGCACAGTTTATATGGTAGGTAAATTTTGTTATGTGGGAATTTTAATAATAGCCTGTTGAATGTGTCTAAATGTATTTTAATTTACATTTGTTGTACTTTTATTTATGTTTTTTCATCTACATGTACATGTATTTAGAAATATTTTAATCAATAATAATATTGTGATGCACAAAATATTTTCCCTTCTATTGTGTAGTAATAATAACATTTTGATTGACATTGATAGCAGTAAATCTGGAGAGTTGTAAGTTAAGACCAAAGCTTTTTAGCTCAACTGTGCAAATTATGCTCAAAGTGTGTTTTTAGGATCAATGCCTGTCCTTCATCCATCTCTTGTAGACAGTTGTTTTAGATAACATCTTCTCTGTAACTACTTGGTCAGATTTGATAAAACTGTGGTTTGTATGTCCCTTGCATGATGTTCTATCAATGGATTTCAGGTGAGCAATAAGGGGCCATCATGACCCTCTTGCAGTGATATCAAGAGCTTGCATAGTAAAAGAAAAATATATATATCAAAACTTCTTGCTTTTGTTCTCTTGAAAGAAATTATGCATGTACTTGTATCTCAAAGTTCAATCTTTCTTCTGATTAATTTTACTATGCATATTAGAACAATTTTTCAGAAAGTGAATTCTTTGTTTATGTGTTTCAGTTTTGCATTAGGTCAAGTTGAATTTTGAAAACATACCACTGATTTTACATGAGATTTTATCAGATCACTGTTTTTACATGAAAATTTATCAGATCACTGTTTTTACATGAAAGTTTATCAGATCACTGTTTTTACATGAATATTTATCGGATCACTGTTTTTACATGAGATTTTATCAGATCACTGTTTTTACATGAATATTTATCGGATCACTGTTTTTACATGAGATTTTATCGGATCACTTCAGAAAGGTCTGATGTTTACAATGATGTAAGCATGAATGACATGTTTGTAGGTAAGATACATATATTATTGTAGGTATTCAACCATGTCTGGTCTGCATGATGATTATTTTATTGGAAAATTGATTTTAGGAAATTTTAGTAGTTCAGGGAAATTTGAATGGATTGTTTTTGGAAAATGTGAATAAACATTGGCAAAATTAGTAATAGATTTTATCATAAATAATCATGAAATAAAATAAATATCATAAATAATGATAATGTTCTTAAGTAAAATGTATGCATGATGATTTTTTTCATGGGAAAACTAATTTTGGTAAATTGTTTAAGTTAGGGATATTTGAATTTTTTTTTGAAAGTTTGAGTATACATTGGGAAAAGTAGCAAGAGTTTTAATCATTTATAGTAATAATGTTCTTAAAGCAGCACACCTCCAGATTCTTGCTAATTTTCATTTAAATTTTGAAAATGTATTTTAAATAACTTATTGTGAAGTGATTTTCACATTGCAAACAGCCCTTACAACCCATGTAAATTACCACACAGAGGTCAATATATGCAAAAATAGCTGTTACTGCATTAGTAACTCAGTAGAAATATTTGAAATATACTGAAAAATTGGTCACAAGTCGCAACATGACAATGAAATTATTACTTTTTTCTTTTCTTAAAATCTCTGTAGTTTTTTACAAGTTTCATTTTCTTGAAATACATTATTTTGGTTCATCTGGAGGGTGTATTATGTCTATGATGATTTTTTTCAATGGGAAATTGATTAGGGTAAATTGTTGTAGTTTTGCAACTTTCTGGCAACTTGGGTAGTATGAAATACTGAAAAGCCGATCTGGATATATTTATTCCATACCTTAAATATGACCATATTTTCTTATGATAATTTATATTATGAACATATTAATGCACTAGTTAATTGTAACTCTGTCTCTCTCTCCCTGCGAGAGAAATAAGTTAATGTTCCATCTGTCCCAGCATTAGCGGGTCAAAGCAATGGTTTTGTTTAGGTGCAAAAAGAGCGGGAACTTTGTCATATTTGTAAATGGAGATTTATCTAGGGCCTTTGTCAAATTTGCAAAGGGAAGGGCGTTGTTCGTGGATTTTAAAAAGGGGTATAAAGTCGTTGTCCCAGCTTTTTTATGGCTGATGGAAAAAGGCTGAGATTACAATATACTGATGTTTTAAGCTATTTAATGATATAGTAAAATGGTATTGTTTCTGTCCTATCAGACGGACATCATGTTCATCATATGGTTGATGGACTAGGTAAGTTGAGAGGACTTTATATCAATATATTACTGTATTGTATAAATTATGTATCGTATAGCATGAGTAAAATAATGTAGTTGTTGATATACCAGTGATTTTTTCCTCCTATATATTACAGCTGAATAAAGACTGTGTCCCCCAGTCAAGAAAAGATATATTTTCCCTGAAAAGCTATAATTGACTATTTAAATGCCCTTTCCATATTTGTCACTAGAACCATGACCTAAAAGCAGCTGACTTATTTCTGTTTGTTGATAATTTAAATGACGAATAGACGGATCAGTTTGACTATAAATAGTCTCTGCTATTTTTTTTGTACCTTGCAAGTTAAATTGAAAAGTTCATTAAATATGTGACTATTATATGTTCCATTCTCAGTTATGTATCTTCCTATTTTTAATCAACCCTATATTTTTCTCCTTCAGAAGGCCACAGGTTGTTTTAAAAATCTAAAAAAAAAATCACTGTATACCACATGTAGTATACAGAAAGTGTTAGTTTTATGGTGTATATGGTATATTAAGGATATCATGGTAACGCATAATTAGTGGAAGTATGACATACCGGTATATTTATTTGCATGTTAACAAAACTATGATAGTACCATTATATATTTATATTGGGTTTTAATGCCCCCAACTACTTAAAGGTGGCTTATTAAATATTTGCTTTGTCTGTCAAGCTGTCTGTAGTTAAACTGGTGAAACAATGGCATATGTGTCCTATGGACACATTTCTACAAGGGGTGATCGATAAGTTTGCAAAATTGCTTCATTATTGTAAACCTGGAATGTAAAACAAAGTACATGATACATCGTGTGACACCTGAACCAATGGTTGACGGAACTCTAACTTTATTTGGAACAATAAACTTGACATGAAATGTTTAACAACAGTTCTATATGGCACTTCAAGCATGCCTACTTTAACATTCGGGCACCCTGACATTACCTTAACCTCTAAGTCTAATAACCAGTTAACTTTCTCAACATAATCACTACCTATGGCTGCACACTTTAAGGTTTTTGTACCTATATTTTGGCTCGCCTGTAAGAATACATGGCACTGTATAATACAAGAAGAATATTTGGTCTGCAATACCCGAAACTAAACATTTTTTGTTATTATCAAACAGTTCCTTAACTAACTGTTTCCAACAATGACTTGCCGTATTGTCTGACTTCAACTGTTATATCAAACACTGGTCATTTCTTGAATGTTAATTTTCATTTGACTTGTCCAATTATTGTTAGTTTAACATTCCTCTCAGGTAAAAGTTGTAAATGCTCTTTAACATGCTAAATTTCTTAAATGGACTTATCCAGCTTCCATTTTGGATTTTCCCATAATCAATATAAGGGATATCAGGATAAGAATTTAACGAGATTTCAACCAATAGTACAAACCCTTGTTTAAGACTGCACGGATGTGCAGGCTGGCCTGGCACTATACTGGTGGCAAAAGGTACTCACTTTCGGTTCAAACAGATTAAGGGCTATGTCAAGTTCGGTCCTAGATATACAATGATAATTTAGCAAGATTTATTTGCTGGTATTTGTAGCTCCGTATCGTATGGGTTCGGAATGTTCCATCTCTCCATCGAAGGACTTCAGAGGTGTCGTATCATGCATGAATTTTGTTAAACGCACAAAATTTGAGTCGTGTCACGACAAAACCAACATAGTGCGTTTGCGCCCAACATGGATCCAGACCAGCCTGTGCATCGGCGCAGTCTGATCAGGATCCATGCTGTTCGCTTACAAACTATAACAAATAGAGAAACTGATAGGGAACAGCATGGATCCTGATCAGACTGCGTGGATGTGCAGGCTGGTCTAGATCCATGCTGGTCGCAAACGCACTATGTTGGTTTAGTCGTGACGCGGCTCATTTGTTGATATTTGAGCTAACTTGGAAAATCTTCACTAATACTGTTTGTTAATATGGTCCTTGAAATATAGGCAACAATAATATTAAGATGCCTAAAAATGTATGCATGTCTGGCCAACATGTGTTTGATTGGTCACAACCCCCAACCCCATTCTACATCCTGCCCAAACCTTTTGTAAATAATCTTAACTGCAGTTTTTTCATGTAAAATGTGTTATGATATTTGATTTATGATTGTAGTTCGATTTCCTACATTTCCAAAATAAATATTTGTAAAAAGCTACATAATTAAAATTTTTAGTTTAAAATGTTTGTTTATATTTTGAAAAATGGGCAAATTTTGGAGGGTGAGGTAGTGACTTTCATCAGCTTGCCATACTGTTGGTCTTGCTTATATGAACTTATGTATAAACTAATTATACCCCCGCACAACAAAGTTGTAAGGGGGGTATACTGGAATCAGCTTGTCCGGCCGTCCGTCCGTCGGTTTTTTCTTGTCCGCCCAATAACTTAAGATTCCTTTGACCTACAGTCTTCATATTTGGCATGGAGGTTAGTCATGATTAGTAGATGACCCCTATTGATTTTGAGGTCACCAGGTCAAAGGTCAAGGTCACAGGGGCCTTGACTTCAAAAAGCTTGTCCGCCCAATAACTTAAGATTCCTTTGACCTACAGTTGTCATATTTGGCATGGAGGTAAGTCATGATTAGTAGATGACCCCTATTGATTTTGAGGTCACCAGGTCAAAGGTCAAGGTCACAGGGGCCTTCACTTCAAAAAACTTGTCCGCCCAATATCTTAAGATTCCTTTGACCCACAGTCTTCATATTTGGCATGGAGGCTAGTCATGATAAGTAGATGACCCCTATTGACTTTGAGGTCACCAGGTCAAAGGTCAAGGTCACAGGGGCCTTGACTTCAAAAAGCTTGTCCGCCCAATAACTTAAGATTCCTTTGACCCACAGTCTTCATATTTGGCATGGAGGCTAGTCATAATAAGTAGATGACGCCCTATTGACTTTGAGGTCACCAGGTCAAAGGTCAAGGTCACAGGGGCCTTGACTTCAAAAAGCTTGTCCGCCCAATAACTTAAGATTCCTTTGACCCACAGTCTTCATATTTGGCAATGGAGGTTAGTCATGATTAGTAGATAACCCCTATTGACTTTGAGGTCACCAGGTCAAAGGTCAAGGTAACAGGGGCCTTGACTTCAAAAAGCTTGTCTGCCCTATAACTTAAGATTCCTTTGACCCACAGTCTTCATATTTGGCATGGAGGTTAGTCATGATTAGTAGATGACCCCTATTGATTTTGAGGTCACTGGATCAAAGGTCAAGGTCATAGGGACTTTGACTTCAAAAAGTTTGTCCACCCATTAACTTAAGATTCCTTTGACCCACAGTCTTCTTATTTGGCATGGATGTTGATCATGACTATAAGGTGACCCCTATTGATTTTGATTTCACTGGGTCAAAGGTCAAGGTCACAGGGACTTTGACAAAAGCTTTTCTTCTCAATTGCTAAAGAATGTCCTGTCCGCAATGTATTGATTTTGACATTTTCACATTTGAAGCATGTAGAATACATAACTTAGCAATGCACTGGCTTAATAACCTCAGATTTGGCAGGGAGGTTTTCCTTGAGCTCTTAATGGCCACTGTTGATTATGACAAAGTGGTATGCGGGGTAGTCACGCCATGATAGTGGCAGTTCTAGTTTTCTCACCTTTAAATAAATAATATGACTGTTTCTTGTTTCATATATTTATAGGTATTAGTTGTCTTTTTCATATTTTTTTTTTTAGATGAAAAGCAACATTTTTGCATTCCCAATTTAGAATTGATAAAATTTCCTTAATTTGCATATACGAGTATATATTTATATTCAATATATCAAGATATAAAGTCTTATATAAAGTGAAAATAACATTGTTACTTTTTGTTGCATGAATTAACTTCAATGCATGTATGGCATATGAGTTGATTTTAATTTGTATGCTTGTTCTTGCTTTGTTTACTCAGACCATGAACTTACAACCTTGGGAATATAAACCCAAGTGTGGATACTGTTTCTTTCTGTATATTTTTTCCTGTATTTGTATTATTCAGTTTTCATATTTAGTGTGTTTGCATACTGACAAACTATCTTTTCTACAGTATTATTTATTTATTTATTTTGTGTAACACGTATATATTTCTTACCTTTGCTGAATCTGTGTGACAGACATGTCATGCTTTGAGTTTGGAAATGTCCTTTTATCTAGAGTTTTTTTTAATTAAGCAACTAACTGATCTTACTGCATGGTTTGTCTCTTAACATATATAGTTATAATTGTTGCCAGGACACTAAAGGTTCAAATTTAATAATAAAAGCTAGCATTGACTTTGAATATATTTTCATGACTATGAATATAATTATATTTCACCAAGAAATTTCTTTGTCTTTTTTTTATTTTATTTAAATTTTCATTATTCTTATACTTACTCTTAAAGCATCAATGATGAAGTCATGTCACTTTTTGTGTATTTTAAGATGTGTCACTGTTTCACTGTTTTAGTTAGGAATATTTAGTAATTTTAGTTAGGAATATTTTCAATTTTGTGTGATACACAAAATGTATATACTTTTGAGTCAACTTATACATGTATAAAACAACCTTAAATTCACAGCTGATCTGGTCTATTTTATGAAATCAGTGTAAAAAGATGAATATTTTAAGACTTATTTTAAACTTATTTAAACAGATACAGTGCGTGGGGATGTAGGAGATGGTGCCCGAAGAGACCTGGGTTTGTCGCCACAACATTTACCACATACTCAGTCAATGGCAATGCCACATATTACTCCGGGACTGACTGGTCACCACGTGCTGTCTGTTACTGCCTTTAACAGAGATCAGGTAAGTGAGAAAAGTGATTGTCCGAGAAATGAGATATCAATATATCTCACAGAGATTATCCGAGAAACTCTGCCTTCATTAATTTAGGAGTTACTGCCCTTTGTTCATTTTTACACTTTGAACATTGTCCAGAACATAGCTCTGACAATATAAAGATATGAACAAGACACTTTTTAGGAAGATAGCTCTCATTATGTAGATGAGCAGTACAAGAGAACCGTAAATCTGCCTTGCCTAATTTTTGAGTTATTGCCCTTTGTTCATTTTTTCACTTTGAACTTTGTCTGCAACGTAACTCTGAAACTATATGAGATATTTACATGAAACTTTGTAGGTAGTTAAATCTCATGGCGTAGATATGCATTGCAAAAGAGCCATAAGTCTGCCTTGTCCATTTTCGGAGTAATTGCCCTTTTTCAATTTTAAACTTTTGTAGGGGATATTACTTGAAACTACAAGAGGTATCATCATAAAATAGATTACATTGAGTAGAAGTGCAGTGCAAAGAACAGTAACTCTTCCTTGCCTAATTTTGGGAATTATTGCACTTTGAACTTTGTCCGAGACATAATTGGTGTACTTTTCTGTGTCCAAAACCTATTTGGGGACCTTAACCTGATTCAACCAGCTCTTGTATGAAAATGTTAATGTAAAAAAAAAAAATAAAAAAAAATGGATAAATCTTTTAATCCCAGAAATCAAAACAATTATTTGCTTATTGATAAAACCTTCTTAAACAAAGACTACTATCTATAGGTGATATAGGATATATCTCCCTAGTGAAATATAGAAATTCAAGGATAAAACATTTAATACATTTTAAATTTGTAACACATGTAGTTGATTATTTTGAAATTTTCTTATTACAGCTCCATCAACTGTTCAACTTAGCTCATCATTTCCGTGCGTCTGTACAGAGAGACCGACCCCTAGACTATATCCTGAAGGTAACCTTTCTTTGATATATGAGCTGCACTATGTTGGTTTTGTCGTGGCAGGGCTCATATATGTTAACCCTTGAACTGCTTTATACGTGTAATGGATTTTGCTCTGCTTTGAATTTGAAACAGTATTTAATGTTTAAGGGATTCAAATAATCGAAATACAAAAGTTTAGCTACCAGGAGTATAGAGCCAGGTTAGAATGCATAGATGTGCCGGTAACTGGTTGGCCTAGCTGTATACTGATGGCAAAGGCTTATTACTGTCTTTTCCTGTAGGCATAAGCTGAACTATTCAGGTGACAAAGCCAGAAATGATATCATAGTAGAGTTAGTACAGTCAAACTTCTGATCTGAGAGACCAAACATGGCCTTTAAAGACAAGTGGTCTTTATTTGGAGGTTACTCTGTTCTGTTAAATCAATTAATCATTGTTGAAAAATGGTCTTTATTTGTAGTGTGATCACTATTCAGAGGTGATCTGTAACACAAGTTTGACTGTATTTCTTATCTTCACTTTTATCTGTGTAAGTCCGATATTTTAAACTGCTGGATTTAATACAAACAGTAGTCTAGAGTTTAGGCAGGCATTTTGCAGTTGCACAAAGGCCTATCTACATAATATTGGTATAGGCTAGAAAATAGTTTTGTAGCCAGAATTAAATGGGAAAATTAACAGCTAATTGTTTTTCTGTGTAAAGTTGATTAATCCTCAAGCTTACAAAACCACAAAACTAAAAAAAGTAAAAACTGCTGCTTTCAACAGATTTCTTTTTAACTAATTTGATAAAATAAAATTTTAAAATTGAAATATCTGTATTTTATTATAGGGACGTGTGATGGCCTCGATGTTTTTTGAAGTTAGTACAAGAACAAGCTGTTCATTCTCAGCCGCCATGCACAGACTAGGTGGCGCCGTCATCCATTTTGATGAGGGGTCCTCATCTGTCAAGAAAGGGGAGTCACTTGATGGTATGATATACACATAGTTTTTGAAAATTTTATTTGGAGGGAGTGGGGGGGTGTATTTGTTGCTTCAAAGAATAGATGATGGTTCATTAAAATTATTTTTCAAGAGTTATGAGTCATGCATGTTTTTACCTTTTAATATAATATAATTGTAAATTGAAAAGACTTTATATAAGTGTTAGGACACTAAAATCAAAAATGGAGCGTCCATGACCAAGTGGTTAAGATCGTTGACTTGAAATCAATTGCCCCCCACCACTGTGGGTTCCAAACATGCCAGGTACTTTGGTGTCTTTCATATGAGAAAGCTATCCAGTAAGCTTATGGAACATTTATGGTTCTACTCAATTGCCATTCATGCCTGAAATAAAACATGGAGAGTCAACTGGAGTCTTTCCCACCAGAAAAGCTGGAAAGTTGCCATATATTCTCTACTGTGTTGGTGTAACATAAAACTAAAATCTAAAGCTTTGATCTATTTCAGATACAGTGCAGACAATGTGTGGATACAGTGACATCCTGGTCATGCGCCACCCACAACCAGATGCTGTACAGAGTGCCGCCAATAACTGTCTCAAACCTGTAATAAATGCGGGCGACGGGACTGGAGAGCACCCGACCCAGGCTTTGCTTGATGTGTTCACCATCAGAGAGGAGATTGGAACTGTAAATGGTTTGACGGTAAGGGATTACTTTCTTTCTGCTTTATTCAACACAGAGGTGATCTTTTGTGATAGTCTGGTGTACATTGTCTGTTGTTCTTCATTCTCTGTGCATTGTTGTCAACATTTAAATATATTATACCAAACTTATAATGTTGAGTGTGTGAAATCATATTTTGACCTTGGTTGACATAGAATGTGACCTAGTGACCTACTTTTGTATTTAAGAAATTATAACTTCTCATATGAGCAAGTTAGGTCCATACATTGATGGCAGTATTGGCATATATGATAGTAATGTTCCTTAGGATTTAACACAAAAGAAATCAACATTTGTACAGTATGGAATAGCTAACTTGGAAATGAATTAAAATTACCGTGTGTAGGATTGACACATTTGTTTTATGTCTCTTACAGATAACAATGGTTGGCGATCTGAAGAATGGACGGACAGTTCACTCCCTGGCTAAACTTCTCACAAACTACCGCGTTAATCTTCGTTATGTCTCTCCGCCCAGCTTAAAGATGCCCACAGAGGTTGTAAATTTTGTTTCGAGCAAAGGTATTCACCAAGAAGAGTTAGAGACCTTGGAAGAAGCTCTCCTTGATACAGACGTACTGTACATGACACGCATACAGAAGGAAAGGTTTACATCAGAGCAAGAGTACGAGAAGGTAATAAAAATTTCACAGCGACTATTTTTCTCATGCGTCTAGCTTTAAGGTAGAACGCGACACTTTGCGAACTTTCGAGTAGCGTCTTGAAAATTGGCATGCAAAAAATTGACCATATTTCCGATTGGATTTCGTTGATTTTATTTCAATAGTTTCAGCCAATTTTTGTACACATGACGTCAAAGTTGACCATCAAAGCCCGTTTTTGAACATGACGTCGTTGCGTATCCTTGACAACTGTTACGGGTATTTCAACGCCATTAGCGGACAAAATATCTTAAATCCTACAGCATTCGACGGAAATTATTTTTTCCTTTAAGCAGATATAAAATTTATTGTTTTACGCCGAAAATTGTTTGAGAAATGGAAAGAAAATCGTCAATTTTGTGTAAAATTTGACGTTCAGTTTAGCCGCAATTTTCGGCTTTAAAACGGCTTATTAAAAAATTCCTGAAATAAATTTTTGATTTTTTTCTTTAAACGTCCTTTAAAATGTGTACTTAGTCAAAATAACTAAAAAAATTAGGGGGTCACCGACTCAATTTTTTCGGTACACGTGATTTTATTTCCCCCACCCCTTTGGATAAAAGTCACGCTATCACGGAGCGTTTTGGTTTTTTGATGTTATTAAAACGATCGCCCTGTGTCAAATTCCCGCTTTTTACGACATTTTACGCTATCATGACCACTGCGGAAAATATATGGATACAATATAGGGTGCGAATTCCGTATATTATAGATACACAAGTAAAAATAAGTGAAATTTGATGTACGGGACCGTATATCATGCAATACGTATATGACTAATATACCGTGATCCGTACACTCGTAATATGCGGGAACTTTGAATGAAGTTCGTATTTACTAAAATACGTATTTTTTTTAATTACACGATCAGATATTACCAAAATATGTTTTTTTATTCTTGTAAATACAGATTTTGTATATAAAACAGTGAATAAAGATGTACTTCAGAATTACCCACTTTCTACAAGAGGAAAGAAATAATAGTCTGATCTGACATTTGTCAGAATAACAATAAAACTTTGATTAAAATGTTATATTTCTCGGTTTTATTAACATGTCAGTTGCATACTGATTAAATAGTTAGTGAAACATCGACAGATCCTCTACAGTGCCCGGAGCATGTACAGACAAAAAATGACAATATATATTGAAATATCTTTATTTTGTATAAAGATTTACAACGCAACACTCCTTTGTGCAGTACCTAGCTCAGGGCCGCCGGTTCGCTAAAATCCGCAGACGTGTTTTTACAGCGTTTCATTATATTTCATGTTTAAAGTACTGTTTCTAAATTTTCCTGTTCAAAATAAATTCTACCATAAGTTTGGCTATACAGTGAATAATGAATATTTGCAAAGGCCGATTTGATAGTAATGTTTTTAATACAGCGTTGATGGTGAATCCTTAATTAATCGTTATTTTTAACACTATGATATTCTAAAATGATAAGCAAAACGAGAGAATATGTATTACAGATATTTGTAGAATCGAACGTGCTACATCTGTAATCCAACACCCACCGAGCTAACGTTTCAAGCATGACTGTTTGCTTCACGCTAATATAATTGACTAAGTTTCATTTATGAACCGTATATTTTAATTTGTCAATATTTCGCCAATTCTGTCAAATTGTTGCAATAGTTTTTGATTACAAGTGAAATTCAAATTCTGGTTTTTTAATAGTGAAATAAAATACATATCACTCACAGTATATCACTCATAGTGTGGGTAATGCAAAATGTATAGATTTGCAGAATTTCTTGTAGAATACGTATTAATTTATGATTGAATTTTCGTAAATTTCTAAATTTACATAAAAATATATAGTTGCTTTTTGTTCCATAAGGCATATTTCTCGATTCAAGTTTATTTATCTTATTGTATTACAATATCAAAAAGGAACACCGCAAATGATTACTCTCGGTTGTATTTATTTTTGTTTGCGCAGCGTACGCGTTGCCGTTGAACGCCTGACGTCATTTTCTTTACATGCGTCTGTTTACAATTCCTTATGAAGTTATTAATCACGCTTAAAAACAAGAAAAAAAATCGTTTGTTTTTCGTACAATGTTAAGAATTTGAAATGGAACATTGTTGTTGTTGTTTTATATGTATTAGTAAAACTCTAGAACAATTCTCCTGATAAGCTGAACATAATTGCCGCACTTTGAAGTCTCAAACGTATCTGCATACGTCGAATTTCGAAACAAAATTACTCACGGGGTGGGGGAAATAAAATCACGTGTACTGAAAAAATTGAGTCGGTGACCCCCTAATTTTTTTAGTTATTTTGACTAAGTACACATTTTAAAGGACGTTTAAAGAAAAAAATCAAAAATTTATTTCAGGAATTTTTTAATAAGCCGATTTAAAGCCGAAAATTGCGGCTAAACTGAACGTCAAATTTTACACAAAATTGACGATTTTCTTTCCATTTCTCAAACAATTTTCGGCATAAAACAATAAATTTTATATCTGCTTAAAAGAAAAAATAGTTTCCGTCGAATGCTGTAGGATTTAAGATATTTTGTCCGCTAATGGCGTTGAAATACCCGTAACAGTTGTCAAGGATACGCAACGACGTCGTGTTCAAAAACGGGCTTTGATGGTCAACTTTGACGTCATGTGTACAAAAATTGGCTGAAACTATTGAAATAAAATCAACGAAATCCAATCAGAAATATGGTCAATTTTTTGCATGCCAATTTTCAAGACGCTACTCGAAAGTTCGCAAAGTGTCGCGTTCTACCTTAATGATGTTTCTTCTAATCATTTCAGGAATTATCAATCATAGTGGAAATTGTTGGCCGGGTTATCAGTATGTATATGTTAGTGTTCATCCGAGCTGTTCTTCAGAAATTAGAAACTTCAACGGGAGCGATAGCGACAGGAGAATTTTTCTAATTTCTGTAGAACAGCTAAGGATGAATACTAACATACTTAGTGTCAAGCTTTATTTGGCCTCATTATTATTATGCCCCCATTTCGAAGAAAAGGGGGTATATTGCTTTGCACTTGTCGGTCCGTCGGTCCGTAGACCAAATGGTTTCCGAGTGATAACTAAAGAACCCTTAGGCCTAGGAACTTCAAACTTGGTATGGTGATTGGTCATGACCAGTAGATGAACCCTATTGATTTTGGGGTCAAGGGGTCAAAGGTCAAGGTCACATTGACCTTGTAAGCAAAAACGGTTTCCGATCAATAACTAAAGAACCTTAAGGCCTAGGAACTTCAAACTTGGTATGGTGATTGGTCATGATCAGTAGATGACCCCTATTGATTTTGGGGTCAAGGGGTCAAAGGTCAAGGTCACATTGACCTTGTAAGGAAAAACGGTTTCCGATCAATAACTAAAGAACTTTAAGGCCTAGGAACTTCAAACTTGGTATGGTGATTGGTCATGATCAGTAGATGACCCCTATTAATTTTGGGGTCAAGGTGTCAAAGGTCAAGGTCACATGGACCTTGTAAGCAAAAACGGTTTCCAATCAATAACTAAAGAACTTTAAGGCCTAGGAACTTCAAACTTGGTATGGTGATTGGTCATGATCAGCAGATAACCCCTATTGATTTTGGAGTCAAGGGGTCAAAGGTCAAGGTCACATTGACCTCTTGGGTAAAAATGGTTTCTGATCAATAACAAAAGAACCCTTAGGCCTAGGAACTTCAAACTTGGTATGGTGATTGGTTATGACCCGCAGATGACCCCTATTGATTTTGGGGTTAAGGGATCAAAGGTCAAGGTCACATTGACCTTGTAGGTAAAAACGGTTTCCGATCAATAACGAAAGAACCCTTAGGCCTAGGGACTTCAAACTTGATATGGTGATTGGTCATGATCAGTAGATGACCCCTATTGATTTTGGGGTCAAGGGTTCAAAGGTCAAGGTCACATTGACCTCTTAGGTAAAAAACGGTTTCCGATCAATAACTAAAAGAACCCTTAGGCCTAGGAACTTCAAACTTGGTATGGTGATTGGTCATGACCAGCAGATGACCCCTATTGATATTGGGGTTATGGGGTCAAAGGGCAAGGTCACATTGACCTTGTAGGTAAAAATGCTTTCCAAATCAATAACTTAAGAACCCTTAGGCCTAGGAACTTCAAACTTGGTATGGTGATTGGTCATGACCAGCAGATGACCTATTGATTTTTGGGTCAAGGGGTCAAAGGTCAAGGTCACATGGACCTTGTAGGTAAAAACGGTTTCCGATCAATTAACTAAAAAGGCTTAGGCCTAGGAACTTCAAACTTTGTATGATGATTGGTCGTGACCAGCAGATGACCCCTATTGAGTTTTGGGTCAAGGGGTCAAAGGTCAAGGTCACATTGACCTTGTAAGTAAAAATGGTTTCTGATCAATAACTTAAGAACACTTAGGCCTTGGAACTTCAAACTTGGTATGGTGATTTGTCATGAACCAGCAGATTACCCCTATTGATTTTGGGATCAAGGGGTCAAAGGTCAAGGTCACATTGACATTGTAAGTAAAAACGGTTTTCTGATCAATAACTAAAGAACGCTTCGGCCTAGGAACTTCAATCTTGGCATGGTGATTGGTCATGGAGCAGCAGATGACCCCTATTGATTTTGGGGTCAAAGGTCAAGGTCACATTGACCTTGTATGTTAAAACGGTTTCCGATCAATAATTAAAGAACCCTTAGGCCTAGGAACTTCAAACTTGGTATGGTGATTGGTCATGACCAGCAGATGACCTATTGATTTTGGGGTCAAGGGGTCAAAGGTCAAGGTCACATTGACCTTGTATGTAAAAACGGTTTCTGATCAATTAACTAAAAACGCTTAGGCCTAGGAACTTCAAACTTTGTATGATGATTGGTCGTGACCAGCAGATGACCCCTATTGAGTTTTGGGTCAAGGGGTCAAAGGTTAAGGTCATGACCAGTAGATACTTGATAACCCTTATTAATTGTTTGATCACTGGGTCAGAAGTCATGCATAATAACCTTATCACATGACTAATTGGCTGCTGATAGGGGGCATACATGTTTTACAAACATATCTTGTTTACTTTATTACGTCACTACGCGGTTTTATGAAGAACTATGAAAAATAGAAGTCAGCTATGAACGAAATTCAATATAGTATCGGTTTTTACAGATTGGCAATCCATCTCATTGGTTGAAATGCTGAAAAAAATCTGCTGTATTTCCAGCCTACATATTGAAAATATCAACTTTGACCCCAGGCATAACTGGTTGTTTAAGTAAGCAGATCTTTTGCCACAGATAAAAATAAAAGCCTTGTGTTGTAATCACTGCTTACCTATCAGTTTAGGATTTATTGTTGTTCAGAAAAGTTTTCAGACTGTTAAAAATATTTCCGCCTCACCCTGCCCTCTTTGGTGAAAAATGAAGATGAAAATAGAATGATTATTTGTGTGTTTTTTTCAAAAAGACACAGAATATTGATGATAATTACAAATATATGTTATTTCAGGCATGTGGACAGTTTATTGTTACACCAGAGGTTATGACCAAGGCTAAGAAACGTATGGTAGTGATGCATCCGTTACCCAGAAACTTTGAAATCAGGTATGTTTACCATGATAGATCCCATTGAATTGTTCATTATTTAAGGGTTCCCAGCTTAGCTTAATAAGGAAAGCACAAGATGAGTAACCAACCAGGGGTGGCTGGTTCAATCCTTGGGCGAGGGGTAATTTCTGAGTGGCCATTGATCTCGGTCGTTGAGGCTTGAGATTCAGGAATTATGCGGGATTAGTAGCTGGTCGTTTACTGAGAAATTGGTAATTACTGGTTAGTTATCCAGGAAGACCTGTAAAGTGGACTGACTGATTGCCGAGATAAGAACAAAAAAATTTGTTAAAATCTGCTTACAATTTAAAAAATTTGACTTTATATTTTTTCTAAAATTTCAGCCCAGTATTTGATACTGATCCACGTGCTGCATACTTCAGACAGGCAGAAAACGGCATGTATGTTAGAATGGCTTTACTAGCGATGGTTCTCGGCAAGTGTTAAGATGTTGGGACCCAGCTTCGGCATCCTGCAATTTAAAGAAAATATTTGATTTCATATTATAGCTCTATTATGTCCAGCTATTTTGTAAAAAATTTATGAAATATTTAATTTGGAAATATTTGATTGATACAGAGAGTATTTTCTTGTTTAAACAAAATAACCAGAGTTAAGGACGTTTTCTGGAGTTTTCATATTTACATACATGTATAGGCAAAATTAAAAGTGTTGAATAGAATTTCTTTAAATGTTCTTTTTATGTTAGAATATGATAACAGAAATATTTTAAGTGAAAAAGTTGGGTGTCACCTATCTCACTTTTGAGTTATCTGTCCTTGAATTAGAATTATTTACTTGTTTGTGGTCATTTCAAGGGCAGATAACTTATACATACGTCTACAAAATCTTTTTACTTTTTGGTCATGTTTTTCTTTATATGGTTGATCACAGTAGGTAATAACATGCAATTTCATACATTATTTCTTTTACAATTTTTCAGTTTAAATAAAGGGACTTAAAATTCTTTGAAAATATGCCATTTTTTAAGAAAGAAAAAAAGGCAAAGGGTTAAAGAAGAATGGAAAAAAACCAGTCTGCTCTTATTATTCATGAAAATTTGCACAATTACTTAAACTTAAGTAAGCTACATGAAAATAAAGAAAAAATAAGGTATTGTTTACTTTCATTGAGAATTATCTGCCCTTGAATTTAGCAAAAAGTCCAATTAAGGGATAGATAAGTCAAAAACGAGAACGGTGGCTCCCAAATGTATTTTACTTAAAATATTTCTGTTATCATATTCTAACAACGCCTAAAGTTTAAGGAAATTCTTTTAAAAAGTTTTGATTTTGCCTATGTCTGTGTGACAATTCCAAAAAAGACATATTTTTTGATGGATTTGATGCATGTTATTATTAAGAAATAATAAGAATTAGGGACAGATATTTTGATAAATTTATGAAATACTTTTAAAATTAACAATGACCTTTCTTTGTAATAAAGGTCATATGGTATAAAAATTAAATATTACTTATGGATGACATGTTTTTTGTTCAAAATGTTATGAAATCCATATATAATTGTTGTCAGTTTGGTGCACATTTGTTTTGGTTTGAATGACCTTTGATCTACAGATATAGAAAATTTGAAAGATAATTGAGGTCTATATTTAGATCTCAGTTTTGTGAAAGAAACAATTCTTTTTTCATCAACGCAAAAAGAAACTTTGATGAGGAACTTAAAGGTTAAATGAATGTTGGACAGATTTACAAATATTTCATTTCTATCAGATCAATCGGATCAATGGGTTAAAACAAATACATAACAAAACAAAAAACTCTTAAGGGTTTATAGGGAAACAGTCTTGAATTTTGTTTTGTTTTGATCTCAAATTTTGTAACACTTTGTTCATTTTTATATGGTATATCAGAGACAGAGCTGTTATTGACATCTCTTGGCATATACAGACTTTCCTCTTGTTAGCTTTGCTGTGTGCTACTTTAAGGTATATATTCAATTTTGTTCCTTTTCTTGTTTAATGGCTGAGGATGCTGTTTATAGATTAAAATCTATAACTTTTCTTTTCATCCTCGTTGCTTTAAAAAGTTCATTTGGTTGAACATTTTGCTCCATATCTGTTGTCAAGAATGGAGATATTGACTGTGGTGGTCAAATTATCTCTTAGATTAGTTTCACACAAGTGTTTACCTTGAATATGGTTACACAAATTCTTTGCATAAATAGTTTAAACACAATAACTGTTCAACATCATTATTCAAAAAGTTATTTTGACTGTCTATTTTACTTTCTTTAGATAGATTTAAACAAATTGTACATATCATATGCCTTGAATAGCTCTACACAAGTGTTCACCTTGAAAAGTTTTACACAGGTATTGACTGTATAACTTCACATTAATTGGTATTACATTGAGTGTTCACTTGAATATTTTTACATAATCCAGTTCGAATTACTTTACACGGGCATTTACCTTGAATAACTTTACACAAGTGTTCATTTTGAATGTCATTACACAAGTGTTCATTTTGAATGTCATCACACAAGTGTTCATTTTGAATGTGGCATTACACAAGTGTTCATTTTGAATGTCATTACACAAGTGTTCATTTTGAATGTCATTACACAAGTGTTCATTTTGAATGTGGCATTACACAAGTGTTCGTTTTGAATGTCATTACACAAGTGTTCATTTTTAATGTCATTACACAAGTGTTCATTTTGAATGTCATTACACAAGTGTTCAGGGTATATTACTTTACACAAGTGTTCATTTTGAATGTCATTACACAAGTGTTCATTTTGAATGTCATTACACAAGTGTTCATTTTGAATGTGGCATTACACAAGTGTTCGTTTTGAATGGCATTACACAAGTGTTCATTTTTAATGTCATTACACAAGTGTTCATTTTGAATGTCATTACACAAGTGTTCAGGGTATATTACTTTACACAAGTGTTCATTTTGAATGTCATTACACAAGTGTTCATTTTGAATGGCATTACACAAGTGTTCATTTTGAATGTGGCATTACACAAGTGTTCATTTTGAATGTCATTACACAAGTGTTCATTTTTAATGTCATTACACAAGTGTTCATTTTGAATGTCATTACACAAGTGTTCAGGGTATATTACTTTACACAAGTGTTCATTTTGAATGGCATTACACTAAAGTATATAACTTCACTTCACAGGCGAATAGTCAAGTTTTTTATCATTTGCCTTGAATATTTTTTCACAAGTATTTGCCTTGAATAGCTTTACACAAGCTTTTGCTTTAAATGAATTTTTCACAAGTGTTTACTTTTAATAGTTTTACACAAGCCTTTTCCTTGTAAAGTTCTAAGTTCTATACAAGGTTTGAATTTTTTGTCGATATTTTGATTGCTGTTCAAATATAGTAAATTTATTAACATATATCATTCTTTTTTACTGAAATCATTCTATTGGACCAAATTATTACAATTCATTCAATGTGTTCATTATTATTTTGATATCTTTTCTTTTTTTTTACATACATTTTCATTTAAGTTTTGATAAAACCTGAATTTTGGACATCTTTGAAATATTACGGGTGTAACATTTATTTTCTTGCATGATAATTCATTTAATTAAAATTGAGTGTGACTTAAGTTTTTATGGCATTATTTAGGTTGAATATTTCACTTTTCAGTTTAAAAGCTGCATGCCTTCAGAATGGACAAAATATTTCAAGAAAATCAAATTTCAGAAAAAATATGCACTTAGGTTTTGAGAAAAGTAAAAAAAAAAAAAAAAAAAAAGATTTAAGATTCAATTAATAATCTACATGTTATGTGTGATTAATGACTGATTTTGCAGAATTTTTCACCATATATGTTCTGAATGGCATACAGGAAAAATAATTTTTTAGGAGGACTGTATGTACTGTTTACATTGTGTGCTATCTTTGTTTACTTCACAATTTATTACATTAATGATATGTACTTTTGAATACATTTTCAAAATTTTCATGAAAATAAGCATGAATCTGGAGGCATGATGATTTTGTTTGATAAAAATTCACCGACTATAAGGTTGGTTCATATTGGTACCAAAATATTTTCTTTCTTGCCATGTGTTGTGTGTTTGTCAATACTAAAAAAGCAGAATATTATCAGTTGATCTATGTAAAAAAAAACTTAAAATTTTATATTTTTAGGCTTTTGGAGATAAAAAGTTTGACATATGTTTTCTGTTGTTTGTCTAACTGGTTGTCATTAAGTTTGTATTGGTTGTCAAGTTTAAATATGTTGTTTTGTATACATGTATAGTGTTGTTACATACTCAACAAAGAAAGGATCTGATGTGATTGGTTGGATAATGTATAGATAAATATAAGTAACGTTGAATATATAGATAAATATAAGTAACGTCTATATATTGTATGGGAATATTTGTTTATCATATAAACATGCAGCTTTCATTGTTTTTTGTAGGAAAGAAAATACAATATTTTTGTGTGTTGCATATTTGGTGGTAATAAGTAACTTCACTGTCTCGAATTCTTACACTTTTTGTTTATAAACACAGATCACTGACCCTCTGTTTATCATATATTTTTGTTCACGTTGTGTTTAAATTGGATACAGTCCTGGTGTGTAAAATTTATTGAACAAAACGTTTTCAGAATTTGAAGTATTTTATAAATAGTGGAATCTAATTTTTTTTTGTTATACTGAATTGAGATATTTATGAACAGTTGAATTTTTTTTAAAAATTCAATTCAATTAATCATTTTCATTTTGAATCTTAATAATACTGACTTGAAATAGATCTCTATTTGCAAATGTCTAAATATTTTTATATCATTTTCAAACTGAATAAATAATGGAATCTCACATATTTATATCTAATACTGATTTAAAAATAGAATCTCAGTATCTAAACATTACATCTATTTGAATTTTTTTTTATCACACACCCGTGCCGATTTTGCGACTCCGTAAATATGGTATTTCACAGCCGTGCATATATTTTGACGTGACGTCATTAGCGTTATACAAACATAGTGTAAAGACGCGCTAAATGATGGCATTATTCTATAGGCGCGTCAATGAAAAATGACTCTTATTTCACTTTAAACGGTCTTTATTTTGGGTGTGTGATAAATAGAATATTAAATTCGTGTAAGTTAATTACTGAATTTATTGCACTCGTTGAATAAAATAATATTATGCTCGCCAGAGGCTCGCATAATATAATTTTATTCAACTCGTGCAATAAATTCAGTACTGAACTTTCACTCATTCAATATCCTCTATATATTACACACATTATACATGAAAGAGAACAAATTTATGTCTAATTTTATTTTTTTTTGTGTTGAATTTTCTATTCACTGTCAGTTATTTCGTCTACTAAAGATTTAATGGGGAGGGGATTGAGGATTTAATGGTTTCTTTAAAATCATAAAAGTGCTAGATTATGTTTTTTGTTTTGTTTTATGATTTTGAAATTTTATCAGAATGTTCTGGGACCATTTTACAAGTTGGGAGGAATCTCGGAAGAAGAAAAAAAA